TATAGCTTCCGTAATTGTTGGAATTTTGAAATCAATGTTGGTAGTTACATCCAGTTAGTGCTTATGTGTCCGTGTGCCAGTTTCATCATGATAGGTCAATTCTGAAGAAAGTTATAGCCATAAATAAAATCGCTGCTCATGCGCTGCCTGCAACGCTCCCCGCAGCTGTTGTTGTTGTTGCTGCTTTGGTTCAACTTTGTGCTGCATACATACACGCATATAAACACGCATAGGTACGTGATGTAAATGTATGCTGTTAAAACTGAACATAACATGTATTCTAATTTAATTTAATTAATTAATTCATTTTTTTAATAATTTAATTTTTTTTTAATTTTTTCTTTTTTTAGTTTTATTTTTTTGTGGAGAGTACAGGCTATTTTACTGTCGGGCTTGCTCGACTGTAGCGTTCCCTCTTGTTGTAATTTCATTTGTTTTTTTTTTTAAATTAGCTTGAAAAGGAACCTGCTGAACTGTAGCTTTCCATTCATGTTTTTAGCTTCCGGCCAATTGGCTTTACAGCTAGCTCGGACCCAGTTCAGTCCCAGTTTCCCACGCCAGTCCTACCCCACCTACCAAATGCCAGTCCGCAGGAGTCCACAGGTTGTCAAGACAAGCTGTGCTCGTGTTCTAAATGGCTGTGACATTTTCAACGTTTCGACTTCAATAAATTTTGTGAATAACAATCATTTGAATCAAAGTTGTGGGCAGGTGGCAATGCGGGGGCAGGGACCACTTGAAACACTTGACAAATATGCAACTACTGCGAAATTTGGATGCTGCACTGCAACAATAGCCACAGTAGTAGGAATGGCATATTTGTTATGCCTCTCAATGTTTTTGGAAAAGGGCAGTTGATTGGCAAAACTTTTGCTAATAAAAATATTTATGATTTTTGCCAAGTTTATTGTTTACGCAAAGCATCAGCAACAGCACAAACAAGAGCAAATGAGGGGGCCAGGACATATTGAAAACTTCTTTATTGCATTTCACAGAAACTAAGACAAACTATTTTTGACGCTTTTGTTGCCATCGTTGAATAAATTTCGAATTTATGTATAAATAGGATGGCTCAGCAGTTTAGTTGTTAAACAGTCAATACAAAGACTAGCCTTACAGACTTCGCATCGTATTTTAAAGCTGAATATGTGCATATAACGTAATATCATATCAAAATGTATCACACACAACTATGTCCCAAGTACGAGTACATGTACGGCTTCCAATCGCGCAAGTACAGTATTTTAAACAAATCAGAAATAAATACCTTATGAAAAATTATGTTGTTGTTTTTAGCGAAATTTTTATTGTATTTCATTGGTCTTGCTGATTAAGTACACTAACTTGGTGGGACAAGTTGGACTTTTCTGGTATTCTATATATTTGTGTTTTTATAGTCTGTACCCAAAGGGTAATATATTAGTATATTAGTTTTGTGGGAATGTATGTAACACGCAGAAGGAGGCGTGGCAGACCGCACAAAGTATATATATTCTTGATCAGCATGACAAGACGAGTCTGTCCATCTGTCCGTATGACCACCTGGATCTCAGAGACTATAAGAGCTAGAGTCACCAAATGTTGCCCAAAGATGCCCTATAAGTGTACGCTGTGCAAGTTTGTGTTATTGTTTTGTTTTTTGATTTTGTTTTGATTTGATTGCCAGTCCGGCCAGCTATGCCCCGACTGACTTCCATTAAAAAATTTGAATACCAATTTTTTAAATTTTAATTTATTAAAAATTTATTAGGAAAATAAATATACATATATAAATGTCTTTGATCGTTGCGTTCATATGGTGAACCAAAAATGAACAAGTAAAAATAAACATTTTCATATTTAATTCAATGTTTTAATATTTAGTATTTACATCAGCATAAATGTAACTAAGAACATATTCAATTACTGGCATAAATATAAATAATATTCAAAACATAGTAAAAATCTTCATAATTTAAGCGTCTTTCATTATTATCTTTGTACACATGACATAATAGTTCACAAAAAATACTTTATAATAGTACGATTTCCTAACTACTCAGCCATACATATACAGCTATAGTCAATAAAACATACTCAATTCACAAATATCAACAGCATTACTATCCGTTAAGTATTTAATTTACAATATGCAATCATCTTTTATCTATTGCATCATTCCAAATTTGAAGCAACGCATTCAAATGGCCTACAAGCTTTCTTGCCTCTCCAAAATCACAAATCTGATTACTCTTTTTTTTTCCTACCCTACACTTTTTATACTATACTACTATTAATTTAATAGTCACTGGGCCATGCGCCTATTTGATTTCTCTAGTAGGGGTATGTGCGCACAGAACCACACACATAATAGTGCATGTTAACTTACATACATACTACATACTACTTGTATGTACATATGTACATATGTATGTACAAGCCGAGAGAAATGAGGCATCACATACTCGCAGTATTGACTTTTTGACCGGAGCATAGCAAACTAGGCCGTTGCCATTTACAATAATTTAGGTCGGCTGCGAGCCGAAGTCTTCCAAAAACCGCCCACACAAACATAAATTGATTAAGTCCGCTCGTCGGTGGCCGACAGACAATTTAAATGTGCATTTCGTAGCTAAAATTAACTGAAAATTACGCGTTATGCGGTGCCGACAATGATGACAACGATGATGATGATGATGACGATGACGATGGAGGGCTTAGCGCATAATCCGTCGGGGCACCAACAAATTACTTTGTAAACTAATTAAAATGCAAGCGTATGTGCGTGTTGGTATAAATGCTGCCAACACTTATCAATGGTCATAGGAAAAATCGGCGCGGGCTTGGGGTTAATTATGGGCATAACATCGAACCATGATCCCAGCAGTCACCACGAACCGGAACTGCGCTTCACGTACCATTTGGAAAACAAATATAGCCCACCACCAACCAAAACATGCTGTATTTATGCCAACATTATGGTACATTATCTGCCCCAACTTATGGCCAGCAACACCAACTGGAATACAACTCCACATCTACAGAGGTCACAGAAGCAGAGCCCCGTATGCCATCAAGCGTACAAAAATTTACGTTCGGCAGCAACAGCAATCAGCAAACCCAAACATGACAACATCTACGGGGGTAGTTTCTTAAGTTTACAAACTACATTGTCCTAACGCTGTATCATAAAAGTGTGTAATAATATACAAATATAAGAGAGGAATGCTAGAGTCGAGCGGGCTCAACTCTTAAATACCCTGTACACACTCCCGAAAATAAGAACAAGAGAGAACGCTACAATCGAGCAAGCCCGACAGTATAATACCCTGTACGCAGGTAAACTTCCGTCACTGAGTTATATGCGCCCATAGCAGCAGCAAAAAGAGGAAGAAGAAGAGCGAACTTGTTGCTGCAGTTTGTGGGGGTTGTACTGGCGAAAATTTGTTTTGCTAATAACTTTTCTTAGAATTGACCGAATTGAATAAAATTTTATACAACAGTAGACAATTATATATAAATTATGTGTGCAAAGTTTGGTTTAGGTAGCATTTGAAATGTGGACGCTATTGACGAAATTCTGTAGCGGGGAAAGGGGGGGAAATTAAAAAAATAAAATAAACTCGTCCTTACTCGGACCTAGGAGAATCTGGATGCCAACTTTGGTTATTCTAACTTTTATAGTTTCTGAGATCCTCGCGTTCATCCAGACGGACGGACAGACGGACAGACGGACGGACATGTCTAGATCGATTTCTCTCGTCATGCTGATCAAGAATATATATACTTTATGGGGTCGGAGATGCTTCCTTCTGTATGTTTCATACTTTGCACAAACCTAATATACCCTTTTTACCCTACGGGTACAGGGTATAAAAAAATGGGAATTATAAATTAGTTAATTAATTAAATAAAAATTATTCAAACATAAGTGGAAACATATGTGTAAAGTACAGAATTATGTCAACAAACATCATCATAAAACACAACAGCTGCAGAGCTTGGGCAGAGATTATAAATATGGCTATAACTTTCTTTCTAATTGATCTATAATATACGGACACATAATCACTAACTGGATGTGACTACCAAATTTAAGTTCCAATAATTGGGGGAGTTAGAGAAAATCGTGAATAGAGGGGAAGTGGGGGGTGTATCGGAAAAAATGAACAAACTTTCTCGGGCTTAGGAGAATCTACATACAAAGTTTGGTTATTCTAGCTCTTATACTTTCTGAGATCCTTGCGTTCATACAGACAGACGGACATGGTTACCTTCTGTGTGTTACATGTACACTCTCGCACAAAACTAATATTCCCTTTTGCCCTTTGGGTAGAGGGTATAAAAATGAGAGTAGATGCAGCGATCCATTTACAATATCAGCTAAGCTCAAGAATTTGCAATTTACCAGTAAAAAATACGAGTTTCTGAAAAGTGGATATCGTTTTTGGAGTGTTAATTTGTAATCAAATATGTCCTTCAATCACTATTCCTCCAGAAACCGTTTTGCTATTGCATTGAACTTTTGCAATGAGACTTTTTTATGGATACCGATATCACACAAAAATACATTTTGTAAGAAAATTGTATTATTTATTAAAGCCCATTTGCATATTAAGAATGTTGTCATAGTTTCCAGTCAAGCGTTTATAGCTTCGGCCAGGACAAGGATAGCTTCTTAGGTCGTCATACGAATACGTTTTGTCTTATACAATTGCTAAAAGTTCTCTTTAAAGTCCAACTTTTTTAGATCATTATCATCAATTTGGATTTATTAAAACTAATCAAGATTAGAGACGAGTCGATACAGCGAACTAATTTGTTTTTAATTGGAAGCATTGTAAGCTGTTCCAAATTTCTCACCATTTTCTTCATTGCTTACATATTATATGTATACTATATGAGCTTTTGTTTTGTGTTTTGTGAACATCCATAAGTGATTTTCGATTTTTAAAATGTCCAAAATTATTTAACAAGGAAGTTCAATTTTGTGTAGAGTTTTCGAGAACAAAAGCTTATGAATGGCACAAAATGTTCAACTGGACACATTGTTGAAGCTGTTGATACTTCTAATTAAATTTTAAGAGCACTTTTGTGCCTTCTAAAAGTCAAATGTTTGGATTCAAAAACATCATTCCTCGTGAACACTTCGTTATAAACAAGACGCATATCGTTTCACAAATATCGTCTTTGTCTGATTTAGCTCCGTGAGATAAACTGAAAAGATTACGCCGGGGACAACGTTTTGGCTCGCGCGCGATTGAGGACCTTAAAGCCGAATCGAAAAAGTACAGGAGGCCTTTTTAGAAAAAGGTTTTTAGACTGCATCGAGCATATGTGCCTTTCCTCCGGAGGGAACTATTTGGCGATACAAAAATGGCATAAATAAACCTAGATATTGAATGTTATAACCAAATCGTTGTTTTTAATAGTTTGTATTTTGTTCATTTCATAATACACATACATAGATATATTTTTTGTTGTTGTGCAACAGAATACAATCTAAGAATAGTTTTCGCTCAGCCCTCGCACCGGGTCACATATGATTTGTTAAACTTTCCGCTTGCTCTCAGCGTACCAACTTGTGGGTTGTCCAGTCTTGTCCAGTTGGTCGTTGCTACGGCTGGCACTCTTACTCACATAGGCACGCACACACACACACACACACCTGTTGTCTAGTTTGTGCTGCTCGCGTTTTTTGATCTATGGATGCATGAATGATTCAACGCGCACAAAACAACACTCAAATACAAGCGACAGCAACAACAACAGCAGCGACAATACAATAACAATAATGACAGAAAACAATTGAAATAACTGTAGCAGAAATTGTGGTAGAGTGCCTAAAGCCAAGTTCTATATTTTTTAGTTTTAGTTTCGACCAAGTGTTGAGTGTGGAACGGCGTCAATTTTGTTTGTGCCCGGGAAAAGTGTAAAGAATTTTCGAAATATTTTTATCATCCAGTACTTTTCCACTGTCCAAAATAGAAGCATTACACTCATTTGGTGTGCTTGCCTAATCCAAGAGTCAATTAAAAAATAATTGTACTATGTAGATGTGTGTTGCACATTTGAAGCACCAAGATAATCATGTTGCATACGTTCGGGGTGTACAGCCTTATAGCAGTAGCTTGCATCGGCTTCGAATGCTGTTTGGGACAGCAAACGCACATTAAACTGGAGCAAGGTGATGTCATGGGGGTAAGTAGAGATTAAACATGGTCCACTCAGCAGACGACAGGCTTTAATTACTTCTAAATCTCTGCTCGACTGTGCAGCTGAAGGTCTTTCCGGATGGCGCACGCACCTCGGTCTACGCCTTTTTGGGTATTCCCTATGCCCAGCCACCGGTGGGGGAACTACGCTTTGCGGTAAGTTTAAGTCTAATAAACTTCATTCGTATTGAGTGAACACCAGTGTTCGTATCACTTTTCTCCCAAACATTTTTGTAGCACGTACCAGTATATGAAATCGTCAATTTTACATTCTAAATTAAAAACAAATAAAGAGCAAACAATCTAGATTTGGAATGGCTTCAAATTTTGGCTATGAATATTAAATGAGGTACATAGGACAGTTACTCGCATTCCAACTCTCAATTCCATCCCAAATAGCTATTGACTATGGTAACCAGTTATCTAGCCTTCGTAAGGCATAAGAATGTTAGCCGCGATAGATCGAAAAAGGGTTAGTTTACTCTTCCTCGTCACCTAGGCAGTTCCTCCAGCAATATTTTGCTTTAACGTTTTGTCTACTAATTATCCATTCAATTTTATGCGTTTATGCTTGTCTTAGTTATTTGATATTCTCTAAAATCTTTTTGTGTTTATTTTATGACTTACTTCCCGCCGTGCCCTTTAATGAAATGAACTTTAAATTTAACAGAATCCTGTCCAAGCCATTATCATTTGGCAATCTGCTTTTCATTTTAAACTTTATTATGTAAGCGAATTGGCTAAACCTTTAATCGATTTTGAGTAATTTGTTGTTTGTTGTTATTACCTCACTAATTTCACTTCCGATTTTGCAGGCCTCAAAGCCACATCCCGGCTGGAATAAAACTCTGCAGGCTGTTAGTATGCAACCTATCTGTCCACAACTCTCCAACACGGTATATGATGAGAGCCCAGAAAGCAGCCCTGCTCGCACCGAAGCAACGGCCGAAGATTGTCTATACCTCAATATTTGGACCCCTGAGGCAGGCATGCGATATGGCAATGTCCCCGTGTTAGTGGTCATTACGGGCGAGGAGTTCGCTTACGACTGGCCGAGAAGTAACCGAGCCAACGGTCTGGACCTTGCTGCCGAAGGAGTGGTCGTCGTTAGCGTTCAGTATCGGAGCAACATCTATGGCTGGCTATCATTGGGAAACAAGGAACTCCCCGGAAACTACGGATTGAGCGATATACAGTTGGCGCTGCGCTGGCTGCAGGGAAATGTGCAAAGCTTTGGCGGTAATGTGGAACAGCTAACTTTGCTTGGCCATGGTAGCAGTGGCGCGCCCTTGACTCTGGCCAGTGTCCTGATTTCGACACAACCGCTGCCAAAGCAATTGATACTTATGTCGCCGGGTCCTGTTCTTCGTGCGCTAGACACTGGACACGAAACACGCATTGTAGAAACTTCGCGCATACTTGTCCAAAAACTGGGCTGCCACTTTGTGGAGCAGTATCAACAAATGGTGGCTTGTTTGAGGCGCAAAAGCCACGACGATTTGCTACGTGCGTATGAGAGTGTCTACAACCATGGCAATGGGAGCCTGCAGCTCGGAGCACTACTACCTGGCGGTTTGGTGTCTAGAATAGGCAATGCAACGCAGCTCCCAACATTGCTGCTAGGCGTTGTCTCAAACGAGGGCGGTTTCATGCAGGACTACTGGCTGGACTTGGCACGTGAAGGTCCAGAGGCACTGAGACAGTATATTAACTACACCGTGCTGCCAAATGTACTGCGCTCTGTGGATGCCAAGGCCACTGGATCCCTTGTAGAGGCCATATTTTGGCGATACTTTAGTGGCGAGGCGAACAATAACGTCATACATATGCTATGGGGCATGCAGCGGTTGCTTTCCGAGGCGCTTTACGAGACGCCCTTTATGAGATTGCTACAACTACTCGACAGATTCAATGGTAACTACGCCTACATTTTTGACCACGCACATTCCATGGACATGCGCGGCAAGCGTAATCTCTTCGGGGGTGCCTCCCATAGCGCTGACTTACCTCTACTCTTAGGTCCTAGTCTCTTTCAGCAGATTGCTCGTCGTCGGTTTAATTCCGAGGAGGAGCAGCTGTGTCGCAAGTTACGCGGAGCCTTCGCAAATTTTGTGAAGAGTGGCAATCCGACGCCAGGCCGCATCTACGACGCTTGGCTTCCATATACAAAGCAGCGACCTTTTATTTACAGCTTGGGTGAATTGAGTAAGAAGGATTCAAGTGTGCCTCTGGTGGATGAGACGCAAATCGAAGCAATGTTGCATGGCGAGCAGACATCCCAACAGGATCGCAGTCTTTCACGACCCAATCGAAACGAGTACAAGGCGCCAATTTATTTGCTGGCCAGCAATAGAAAAGGAAACTCATATGTTGCAAACAACCAACTGGACTCAGGATATGGGTCACATCTGAGACGCGTTTATGGTTTCTGGCACCTGCTGGTACCGACAACAATGACAGAAAATGATGAGGGGTCTTCGAGTGGAAATGGCGCCTTAGGCCAGCGAGTGCGTCTAATGGAGGCTAATGCAGATGCGGCGCGCTATCGGCAGGGCTTTTATGCCATGTTGGGATTGGTGTGTCTGCTCTTGGGGTGCTTGTGTATATGCGTCTATTTGTTGCGGCGCGACCCGCTACGCATTGCAGGAGGATCTGCATCAGAGGAGCATTGCTGTTTATGACACAAGTGGTGGTTTCGCTGGACGACCATCTTTCGCCGCGGCGTCCATGGTTGCGCCGCAGATTCGGGCATCGCCAATGTCGAGTCCTGGCGGAAAGGTGGTCGACCAGCGAGACAGCAACACGAGCACGAGCATGACCACCTTCCACAACAGCAACGCACTAGACGTCCCAGACAGCAGCAGCCGTACGATGACATTCAGCAATCGGGCACAAAAATTGGCCACATTGCCCGAGGAGTTGGAGGAGGACGACGAGGAGAAGCCGGAGCAACAGCAACACGAGCAACAGCTGGAGATGAACAGACTGTTGCGGAACTCCTGGACACTGTACCCAGCAAATACGAACAAAATGTGGCTATTAAAAACTGGCAATACCAGTTAACATGTGATAAGTTCTAATATAGGGACCGGAAGAAAAATACCAAAGCATTTTTGAGGTAGTTAAACTAAGGCTCAAAAAATAACGATCTATTTATGTTTTTCCTTTACCTTTACGGATATTTGAAATATACTTACGACACTCAAACTCTGAACGCATCTGTATCGTTTTATAGAGTAAGGAATTAAGTAATGGTCTAATTATTTCGATATTTTATTTGCTGCATCGAATAACTTTCATTATTCTTCAAAAGTTTTATCCCGCCATGGTTATGGACCGAAAGCTATTTATGTATTATTATACTATACTTTCATCGAAAGCAATGGCTGACATTTGCAACCTACGCGAGTAATGCAACACCAACAGGTATTAAATTGGAATACCAACGTTCCCTTGCCATCGTATTCATGTAGGCTTTTGATTCTAACCCTTCCAACAATTCGTAGGGCTGTTCTTGGAGTACTTTTTCTCCATGGGCTGGTTATTTGTGAAGTAGACACCTCTGCCCTATTAGGTCGACTACACTTTTCAGTTCCTGGTAGATCAAAGAATTATTATCCATTTATCTTGTCTTGTTGCACAACTGGTTACGTCTTGAAAAATCGTTTTCGTTTTCGTTATGTGTTCCAATTATTACGATATTTCTCAATCACTCTCAACAATTGTTTCCGGGGAAATCATTACCTTCTTACCTTACCTTCTCTTTTTTTACTGATTAAGTTACCTAATTAGAGCTAATAAGAATAAAGTTTTTCAATTCAACTTAATATTTCTTGGCACCTTCTTTGAGTTATTAGGTCTTTTAATGTATTTGACCACATTTGGCTATGAATCGTAGCATAGCTGGCCGGGTGGGAAATAGAATCCCCCACGGGTCAGAGGCGTTAACGGACATTAATGTATATTTTGAAGTATATTGTTAACGCTACCTTATCTTTTAAGTGGTAGTTATCACGTATTTATGTGTATTTTACTCTTTTGTTGATTAATAAATTAAATTTAAATTAAATTCACTCTCCACAACAACTAAAATTCTCTTTTTTCATCAAATTAACTAGTGCATTTATATCGTAGCAATTCAAAAACTGTAGCGCTGCCATTTTGGCGACAGAACAGCTGTTCTTTTTGTCACTCTTGTTTTTGAAAATTTGTAGCAGTTGGCAGCCCTTTATTTTACATGCACGTGTAGCGTAAGCGTGTAGCTATTCTAATAAAACAATCATATTCTACTGCCCCAAAATGGGCACCAAAAAACCAGTGGAAGTGCATAGGTTTCCTTCAGATGTGGAATTTGCTGTATTCAGTGACGAGGATGTGCGGAAACTAAGTGTAGTCAAAGTTTTAACAGGTCTGACATTTGATGCCCTGGGCCATCCTCTTACCGGCGGCCTCTACGATACACGACTCGGTTCCTATGGCAAGTGCATGGAACCATGTGCCACATGCCTTAAAATGCTCGACTGTCCCGGCCATATGGGCCATATTGAGCTGGGCGCGCCAGTTTATAACCCGTTCTTTATAAAGTTGGTGCAACGATTGTTATCCATCTTCTGTTTGCATTGTTACAAACTACAAATGAAAGGTGAGTTAAGGACAGGTCAAGTTCATTTTAAGTTTAATGGCCCTCGCTTTTGCAGATCATGAATGCCAGATAATAATGCTACAACTTCAACTTATTGATGCCGGCTACATTATCGAGGCTCAGGAACTAGAGCTGTTCAAGTCGGAAATTGTTTGCCAGAATACGGAGGAACTGGTCCAGATTGATACTGGCGACAGCGTGCATCCACGAATCGCATATATGCATGAATTGCTTCGCAAAAACATAAGAAATGCAAATAATGCAACTAAGACCAGTTGCTCCCTGCGCACGGCCATCACGCATGCTGCACTGCAACGGAGTCAGAATAAAAAGTGCCGTCATTGCAGCAAGTCTATGCGCTATGTGCGCTACCTGCACAGAAGGCTGGTATACTATGTGACAATTGCAGATATTAAGGAGCGGTAAGTTCTTCTTCGAACATTCTCCGAACTTTTGTTAACCAAACTTTTGTTTAATTATAAATAAATACCACTTTCAGTTTTGGCAACGTGCCCGAGAATAGTGGACAGAATAAGATTATCTTTGCGGACGAGTGTCGTCGCTACTTACGCCAAATATACGAGCATTACCCGGAATTGCTTCAGCTGCTAATACCAGTCTTAAAGCTTCAAAGCAAACCTTCAAGCGAAGTTTCACCCGTTGACATTTTTTTTATGGAGGCGCTACCTGTGACACCTCCACGAGCGCGTCCCTTGAAAGTTGTCAATGGCATTATGAAGGGCAACCCCCAAACAGACATCTACATTAATATTATACAAAACAACCACGTGCTTCACGTAGTTCTTAAATGTATGAAGGGAAAGCAGGAAAAACTCAACGATCAGGCCTTGGCGGCGTACCAAGATATTGACGGGACCTCACCCCACGAGAAGCTATACAACGCCTGGCAAGCCTTGCAATCCTCTGTCGATGTACTGCTCGATGTGAATATGTCACGCGGTTCTAAGTTGGCGGAAGGCTTAAAGCAGGTTTTAGAGAAAAAAGACGGTCTTATACGAAAGCACATGATGGGTAAACGCGTCAACTACGCGGCGCGCACTGTCATTACACCTGATCCAAACATCAATGTCGACGAGATTGGCATACCAGACATATTTGCCTGCAAATTATCTTACCCAGTACCGGTAACCGAGTGGAACGTAACTGAACTCAGAAAAATGGTGATGAATGGACCGAACGTACATCCGGGTGCCAACTACATCCAGGAGAGCAACGGATTCACAACCTACATACCTGCAGAAAATGCGGCAAAGCGCGCCAGTATGGCTAAGCTACTGCTTTCTAATCCCAAGGATGGTGTCAAGATAGTGCATCGCCATGTCCTGAACGGCGACGTTTTGCTGCTCAACCGCCAGCCCTCATTGCACAGACCTTCGATTATGGCACACAAGGCCCGCATCTTGCATGGAGAGAAGACTTTCCGGTTGCACTACTCCAATTGTAAGGCCTACAATGCGGATTTTGATGGTGATGAAATGAACGCGCATTTTCCACAGAGCGAAGTGGCACGAGCTGAAGCATATAATCTAGTAAATGTGGCCAGTAATTATCTGGTACCCAAGGACGGCACACCCCTGGGTGGCCTAATTCAAGATCACGTTATTTCGGGTGTAAAGTTGTCTATACGCGGTAGGTTCTTCAATCGCGAAGACTATCAGCAACTAGTGTTCCAGGGTCTTTCCCATTTAATGGGTAACATAAAGCTATTGCCGCCCACCATTCTGAAACCTGCCATGTTGTGGTCTGGTAAGCAGGTGCTGTCCACTATTATTATAAATTTGATCCCCCAAGGCTTTGAGAACATCAATTTGGATTCGTTTGCAAAAATTAGCAGTAAGGTAAACCCATTTGCATATGCCCGAAACATTTTTTACCACGCCAAATTAACTACATATATATGTTTTAGAATTGGAATATATCTCGGCCGCGCACGCCACTCTGCGGTTCCACGCCTCTTGAGCAGGAGCTCAGCGAAAGCCAGGTTCAGATTCGCAAAGGTGAACTGCTCGTCGGGGTGCTGGATAAGCAGCAATACGGAGCCACCACGTTTGGACTCATACACTGCATGTACGAGTTGTATGGAGGCGAAGTATCCACATGCTTACTCACGGCGTTCACCAAGGTATTCACATTCTTTCTGCAACTCGAGGGCTTTACACTAGGCGTAAAGGATATTTTAGTAACCGAGGAAGCGGATCACAAGCGTCGTAACATCATACGGGAGTGCCGCAATATCGGGAACAGCGCCGTTGCGGCCGCATTGGAGCTTGAAGAAGTGCCACCGCACGATGTACTGGCCGAGCAAATGGAGACCGCATATGTAAAGGATCCCAAGTTCCGTGTGCTGCTGGATCGAAAATATAAATCGCTACTCGATGGCTACACAAATGACATAAACAAGTATGCTGAACTAAACAATTTAGAGTGAACCCAAGTAAATAAAGCAACAATTCTTTACAGAACCTGCCTGCCGGACGGCCTAATAAGCAAATTTCCCACCAACAATTTGCAGCTAATGGTGTTGTCCGGTGCTAAGGGATCTATGGTGAATACTATGCAAATTTCATGCCTTCTGGGTCAAATCGAATTAGAAGGCAAGCGCCCACCGCTCATGATATCCGGAAAGTCACTCCCCAGCTTTACTTCTTTCGAAACTTCACCAAAGTCAGGCGGGTTTATTGATGGACGGTTTATGACGGGAATACAACCGCAGGACTTTTTCTTCCATTGTATGGCCGGTCGTGAGGTAGACTATTCAATACAATATCCCATTGACTTAATTAAGCTAAATCTTGACTTATTTTAACAAAAATAATTGATACCTGGTCTGATCTAATTCCCAATTTTGTGCAGGGTCTCATCGACACGGCTGTGAAGACTTCGCGTTCTGGTTACTTGCAGCGCTGCCTTATTAAACACTTAGAGGGCCTAAGTATACACTATGACTTAACCGTTCGCGATAGTGACAGTAGCGTGGTGCAATTCCTGTACGGTGAGGATGGTCTGGATATTCTGAAGTCAAAGTTCTTCAATGCGGACTTCTGTACCGATTTTCTTACGCAAAATGCCACTGTCATCTTGAGACCTAGCCAACTGAATTTGATGAAGGACGATGAATGCCTAGCCACTGTGCTGCGGCATGAGAAACACATACGGTCATGGCGCAAAAAACAGCCGGCTCAGCTGCGGGCTGCCTTCACCCACTTCTCAGACGAGCTTCGAAGCGAAGTGGAGGTGAATCGACCGAATGAAATTAACAGCAAAACCGGAAGACGCCGCTTCGACGAGGCGCTGATAAAACTATGGAAGAAAGCTGATTCCGAGGACAAGGCCTTATATCGCAAGAAATACGCTCGTTGTCCCGATCCTGCGGTAGCTGTGTATAAGCAGGACTTATACTATGGGGCTGTATCCGAGCGAACGCGCAAAATTATTGATGAATATGCACGGAAAAGCCCAAAATATAAGAAAACGATTACGGATATTATGCACATGAAGAGTATCAAGGCTTTGGCATCACCCGGTGAGCCTGTCGGACTGCTAGCTGCTCAATCGATTGGTGAACCCTCCACACAAATGACATTAAACACCTTCCATTTCGCCGGTCGTGGAGAAATGAACGTAACATTGGGCATTCCGCGTCTCCGTGAGATACTCATGCTGGCTTCGTCAAATATAAAAACTCCCTCAATGGACATCCCTATTAAGGGAGGCCAACAACACACTGCAGAGAAGTTGCGCATATCTTTAAACCGTGTAACCTTGACCAATCTTTTAGAATGTAAGCATGCCTCTATATTTGACCCTTGCTGTTACTCACATTTTCGTCAACAGCCGTAGGTGTCATCTTCAGCCTAACGCTGGAGCCGGAACGTGCCTATGTCTACGATCTTCACTTCCAATTTTTGCCACGCGAAGCCTACAAAGAGGACTTTGGCGTACGGCCCAAGCGTATAATTAAATATATGCATGAAACATTCTTCAAGCAGCTTATACGCGCCATTCTCAAAGTTTCCAATGTCAAAAAGACCTCTCGAATGTGAGCGAAATGCCGATTTAAACAATAAATTAAATATTTTATTATATTCCATTTCAATTTCAGCATTGAAATTGAAGATAAAAAAGAGAGCAATAAGCAGGATGATGATAATTACCAGGACTTAGATGCGGCAGATATTGGAACACAGAAAACTGGCAATAATGATGACGACTCCTCTGACGATAGTGTAAGTGCTAATTGCAATCTACCTGTCTAGTATGTATGTATAAAGGTGTTAATTTTGCTGCTACCAGGGTGATGATGATGCTACTGGCGTTAAGCTTAAGCAACGTAAGACAGATGAAAAGGACTACGACGATCCAGACGACGTCGAAGAGCTCAAAGATGCCAATGGTGAGAAACTAGCTTAATAATTTGATTCTTTTTTAAAAAGTACGCTTGTGTTTTTAGAAGACGATGAAGAACAAGATGAGGATGAAGATGCTGCCCCTGATCTGAGCAATGAAGGAAATACCGAAGCAGATGATAAATCTGTTGAGAAGCTGCTCAGTAATGAGATGGTCAAGGAGTACACATATGATAAGGAAAATCATCTTTGGTGCAAGGTCAAGCTGAACGTAAGTCATCTAAAAACTAACATTTATATTACAATAAACAAAATTTATGACCCCAGCTGAGTGTGCGCTACCAAAAACCCGATCTGACGTCAATCATAAGGGAGCTGGCCGCTAAGAGTGTCATACACCAAGTGCCACACATCAAGCGCGCTATCATTTATGAAGGCAACAATAATGAGCAACTTTTAAAAACGGATGGAATTAACATTGGTGAAATGTTTCAGCACGACAAAATCTTGGACTTAAATCGGTTATATTCCAATGACATACATGCCATAGCACGAACATACGGCATAGAGGCAGCTGCCCAAGTCATCGTCAAGGAAGTGAGCAATGTGTTCAAGGTCTATGGTATTACAGTGGATCGAAGACATTTATCTCTAATTGCCGATTATATGACCTTCGACGGCAGCTTTCAACCCTTGTCACGAAAAGGAATTGAGCATTCATCGTCTCCGTTGCAACAAATGTCCTTCGAGTCAAGTCTGCAATTTCTGCGAAATGCGGCCGGATTTGGACGACCTGATGAGCTCAACTCGCCATCAAGTCGCCTAATGGTTGGTCTTCCAGTACGCAATGGAACGGGTGCATTTGAGTTATTAACAAAAATATGCTAATTGTATTTAAATACTTTGAGTAATCATGGTCCTATAAATAAAAGAGTTATCGATACTTTGTCTGAGTTGGCAGCTCTATACTCGTGTTCTAAGGCCGTGGTGAATGACAAGAGTAATTCTGTTTACACATTTGGTGGAGGCCGAAAAATTGTAAAGCACCCAATAAAATGTTGGCTTCAATGGTTAAAGATCATAATTTAAGGCAAGCCAAGCGCAAACAGGAGCAAGGTATGTGAATAATTAATGGGCTCCATTAAATCAACTAACAAATATAATGCAGAGGTACGACGCAAGGAAGCTATTGAAGCTTCAAATGAACTAACACAGGCGCTGGTGGATCACTTAAATGTTGGGTTTGTACCTATCGATACAGTTTACATATTACTCTAAAGCAATATTATCTGAAGCGTTGCCCAGGCGTACCTAAACCAAAAGCGACTCGATGTGGAGGCTAAGCAACTTCATGTGGGGGCTACAAACTTTGCAAAGCAAACACAACAGTGGCTGCAACTAATTGACAATTTTAGTAGCGCTTTAAAGGTATGCCTATTTTCATGTTCAAAAACACCAAAATACCTTATAGTACGAGTTTTAAAATAGACACCGAAAAAACAATTTCCTTGTTAGTCCTCTAATTGCTAACCATAAAGCCCATTTCTTTTTTAATTATATCCTGCTCCTACTTCCCATATTGTATATTTACTCATAGTTAATTATTTATTTCATGATGTGAGATCAAAATGTTCGTAATTGTCGATATTTTTACGTATATACGACCCAAATGGATTCCGAAATGTGATTTTTTGTATACTCTGTACATGAAATATACAATATTAGGTTTGCGCGAGCTGAAAATTGCAACAGGCAGAAGGAGGCAGACACCACAAAGCAAATATATTCTTGATCAGCATGACAAGACGAGCCAATCTATGTCTGTCCGTCCGCCCGTATGAACACCTAGATCTCAGAGACTATAAGAGCTAGAAGTTTCATAATCATCATCTTTCATATCAAGTTTCATAATGATATGCCGATTTCACAAGAAGTTATATGTCATATTGCCCAAGCACTGCCTGCAGCTGTTGTTGCTGCTTGGCACAGACACAAGAAACAGGCACACGCATAATTATTCTACACATACATACATACATATGTACAGAGTATTTATTTCTCTTCTCTACTTGTTCTTTTAATATAAGTGTACGCTGTTAATGTTTAATTTTATTTATATACATTTCTAGGAACTTGGCGATGTGGAAAACTGGGCACGCAGCATTGAATGCGATATGCAAATAATACAGCAAAGTCTAGAGTTGGCCTATAAGGCGTCTCGGGCCACACAAGGCACACAGAACGCTACAACGGCTGTTGGAACAACTGAAGCAAACAACACTACATAAACAAATTAGAAAAATAAATGATGTCTATATAGTTTAAATTTATATTTGTTGTGTTATTTAAGAATGATATTATTACAGTCTCTTTCATATACATACATAAAAATCTAACATGTGTGAGATCACAACAAATATTCAAAGATTGTACAGTTAGAACATGATCTTAATATGTTATTATATTAACACTAATATTTCTAACTACATATCTTTGTGGTTAGTGTGTGTCAGTTTTTAATTTACATTTCCTGTGAATAAATATTTGTTTACGTTGCCTTTAAAATACATATCACAATGTGTTAAGCTATGTGCGTTCACGTAGTTTAAGTGGACAAATACGCGGCTGTTGGTGTTGTTGCTGCAGATTAAACTACATTTACAAAATGAACGCAGCAAAGCACCACAATTTGCAACATTAATGGATTAGTTAGGTGATGATGAAAATAAGGTCAAACGAACCCAGCAGATGAAGTTTTGTAGTTATGGGTTGCCAAATGCTAGATCGAATTAACAACAAATACCATTCAGTCTTGTTCACGAAACAGCACGCAGGCAATGCTGCTGGGCGTAAGGAACATTTGGTTAGCATTTGGCTCGCAGCAGGCCTCTTTTACATATTAATAACGCGATTCACGCCCTGACAAGTAAATGCCGTATTATTATCTTGTTAAAACCACCCAAAGATTATTTCGATTCACTAAAACTTACGACGGCTACGCGAACGTGACTCCTCGCTACGACTGCGACTTCGATCATAGCGATTACGGCTGCTGCTCTTGTGGCGATGTTGACGATAGCGATGATCTCGCTCGCCATTGCAATGCCGGCGGTAGTTGTCGTAAGGTGAGGTTGAAGAATCACGGCCACGACGGCGCGAGCGTGACGAATCCGAGTTAGAGAATCCATAACGATCACGGGAACGATTTGTGTAGCTACAATAAAATATAATACAGAAAAAAAATTATTACATTGCGGTCTTAAACGGCCATTAGGGTATACATTTTAAAAAAGATATAGACATTAAGTGGTTTAAAACAGGAATGTAAGCAAATTTTTTGAATCAAATTAATTAAATAAATGTAATATATGTATACTCATATTATAAAGAGGAAAGATTTGATTGTTTGTATGTTTGAATTGAAAAGGCTCCGAATCTATTGGACCGATTTAATGGACTTGATCACTAAATGATCACAGTTGTGGAAGCTAAACTATCAACGGTTAACATGGGATATATTATATTTGCAAAAAAGAATGGAATCCTTACTAAAACGCCAATAATGTAACCAAAGGTGTAAAAAAATGTCCTTGAAAAACTCCTGAATAGCATGCTGTTAGTTCATAATCATCCTCGAAACATTGTCACTTTAAATATTAAGGCAATATTATTCAAAATATCCAAATACATAATTATAAATCGATCGACACCGTGATTGATATCGAAGACATTTAAATTCACTAAACCCTTCTGAACTGCCGCCACATGAATTGACGGTAAAATTTAATAGTTAATAGTGTTCTTTGTATTTAAGGTAAGCGATAAACAATTAATAATATTTCGCTTGAAATATTCGAAGGTATTCTATGAAGTTGGCTATCAATAACATACCGCGATGGACGGCCCATATAAACCCCAGGTGTAGGTGTATGGGGACGATGAGTGATGGAATAGTCAACCCGTATGCGGCGATCATCCACATCCATACCAGAACAGGCGTCCTTTGCTGCGCGTGCGTCACTCAGGTTCAAAAAATAAATAAAACAAAAACCGCGCGAGCGATGTGTCTGAAAACAAAATATGAAATATAGGTTATTAAAAAGCGGAAATAGCTTTATGTTCCGCACACCGATGGTTTTGCACCCTTGCTTTTCGATTGTCATCCAATATTATAATCAAATTGCAAACAAAATTAATGCTTGTGCAATCGAGCTACGTGATTAAGAAATCCGATCCGGCTGCATTCGAAGATATTTTTTCAAAAATCCAAACAGACATGATTACTGCGATCTCAGTGAGCTAAAATATGCGAGTGATTAAATAAGTGTTGCAGCAAGCCTTTAGTACATTGACAATAGCTTGCCTGTCAAGCACTCATAATTGCTGCAATAATCGTTCATACTCTTGCCACGTACCACGTAACCCAGAACACGCTCTTAGTAGAGTTGGAAGTGGCATTATGGCGGTAAACGAAAACTGGTAACAGAAGTGCAACTCACATGTGCATCGATGACCATTTGAATGCGCTCAATGGGTCCAAACTTGCTGAACAACTCGCGAACTTTGTGCTGAGTGGTGTTAGTGTTTAGACCAAAGACCCCAATGCAACGACTGGCCTGCGGGCGTTCCTAGAACATGAATCAATTATTGGCATTATTAACCTTGTGTAACAGTTGCGCCGTTGGAAACTTACTCGTGCCTGACGAGAACGCTGATGATCGCGCGACATATGGCGTCGTTCGGGAGATTCAGAAAAGGAACGCGAACGCCGGTGATTCTGAGAGCTAGAACGGCGATTATTGCGGCGGCTATTATAGCAATCCAAGTCCGACCTTGATGTTGTGTTAGAATGGAATGTTAGAGTGGTGTGAGATTTGTCGATGTACAAAATCTAGTTCGTGTTATGCTTTTGAAATATTCTTGAAAACAATTGAATTGATCTGCAAACTTTTGCAAATATTCTACATAATTAAATGTATGGACGTATGTATGCATGATTGGGATAAAATATTTTCAGCTTGGCTTGCACGCTTGGCTAAAATACAATTTCAATCAAACAAATTCTAATTATGCACGATCTGCTATAAATGAAACGGATTATATCTTATTGCCTTACATGATCTCAAATTGATTTTCTTTTTTCTTTGTAGAATAAAACACGTAGACTACACTCGCACTACAGGGAACAAAAAACCAAATGACCCAAAAAGCCGCATGTCATTCGGTTGACAGTAATAAGTCAAGGCCTGCCTGTGACCAAACAATGCTCTACTCGATATACATATGTACGTATTTTGAAAACAGATTCAAAAACGAGCTGCAAACTTGTGCACTGTGTACCAAAACAGTCTGGACGGAGCATCGATACTTCAACGCTTTACTCACCGACGTGTTGATGCCGAGTCCGGCGCACCGCTGGATCCACTGCTTTCCTCCAATTTGCTCGAACCCTGTTCCGATGCTGATGACGAAAAGCTGTCGTCGTCGTACCGTTTGTGATAGTTACTGCATTGGGCAATAGCGAATACATTTGGAGAACTATATATTAAAGCAGAGGGCTTCTACATACATACCTAAAGCTATATTTACAACGATTGCCACTGCCCGCCACCAGATTGTCGTCGGAAGGGCCAGAAGTGGACTGCAGAAAATGCATAGATTAGGATAATAGACAGGCATCGATTTGAACTGCTTTGGTGACACGTAGATCTGAACTGGAAAATGTAGGAACTTCTTCCTATTCAATGAATACTTACCATGCTAAAAATTACCACTTAAGTCTTTTTCCAAGCTAACTAATCGCGTTTATAAACAACGCCGCCCCAAACCCGGAAGAAAAGTAAAGCGTCGAAGCCCTCACACTAAAACTGCCAACTTGTTTGTGTTTACTTATAAACGACGTTGCCAGACTGGTTAAGCCGCAAATTCTTTTATTGTAGCTTACTGCTCAAATTTACGTGTTTCTGCGTATGTATACATAGGTCTAAGAATATTATCATCACTTTACAAAATTTTGATAGTGTTAGCAAAAATGTAACGCCTAATTGTACCTCTTAAAATGGTTATGTTTCATGCTAATGTAATTGTACAATTTTTTCCTCTCTAGATTGTACAAGTCAGTCAGTGTTTTAAGCATTCGCTTGTCATCATAATAACTCTTTGGCGGCGCTTCAATCAAATTTCCATTGGTATACCATTTCATTTCACTAAAATGCTTCTTAACGACAGCACGCATTCCGACCCCGCTAAAAACGGGCTTTCGAAATATTTCGCAAATGTTCTTCTTCCCGTATTTAGTTTGCAATTGGTCCAGGGTCTCAACAATCCTCGACTGAGGGCAATAAAAGAGATACCATAGCTTTCGCTCCGGTCTCCGGAAATCTGTAAGGCTTAATACGCCGAAGTATTCCACTACGGAGCTATTTGTCCTTTTAATCTCCTCTGCGCTTTTAAGGTAGAATATACGCCTTAAGTATTCCTCAAATCTATCTTCAAAGTCATAGGCTTTGCATACTTCTGGCGCATTGGCCTTGTTTAAATCGGCTTCAGCTGTAATAACAAGTTGCTTATTACTTTCATGCTTCTTGTATTTATTTTTCAAACTTACTTGTCTTTGGGCTAGTCATTAATGCTAGAGGTAATAGACAACGTTTCAAATATGTTTGCTGTAATGAAATTCACTTCTTTCGCTGATGATTTATATAGCCAAAAGTCAACTTTATTTCTATCCCTATTGAAATTAAAAAAGCTGCGTTTTTGATTACAGCTATGTACATATGTATGTATAATTTCACATACATACATACAAATGTTACTAACAAAGCTTCAAGGTATCGAGTACTTTTAGCACTAAAGTGACGAATTTCACAATTAATATGTATTTGTGTATGTATGTATGCAATATTTGATTAAAAAAAAATTATAACAAAAATGTTTATGTGCATGACATTGGGTATATTAAATTTTTAGGTGGTCTTAACAATTTAACAGTATAATTAAATGACCGTGTTTTCGTTACCTCACGGAGTTCTATCTACAGCTAACTATATATGTATGTATGTATGTGTGTGTCAAGCAATTCCCTTCAGATTATACTTTCTGGCACATCTTCCAGTTCGGATTTAATTTCCGAGTCCAGCGGTACCATTGCCGCAGCATTGTTGTTGGCAACACCATCGGGCAGTATGCACTCCTCGGGAGATGGCGATTGGTGGACAACATACAGCTCACTGCCGCCATGAGGCGTTGATGTCGCCGCAGTAATAGGATTTGAAATGGATCCAGAAGGGGTTGCAGGTGATAAAGGCGCTGTAACTGGTGTCACATTTGATTCACTTAGAAGGGCACTCATTTTCGTTGGAAACTTTGGGATTGCTGTGCCGACGTTGGATATTTGAGGGCATGTATCCACAGATCTTGTTACCGGTGTGGAAACCAACTAAAAAAAAATTGGGTTACTCGATTAACAGCCACATCACAAGTGTATAATTATATAGAAAGTATATGTAAATAGCTTAGCTCGTCTAATATTCAGTAACTTTCAACACTTACGCTGTTTTTTACTCCATTCGACTGGAGAAAGCTTGTCAGGGATGCAGGAGCCGGAGTCAGAGGCGCCCGCGTTCTTTGCACTATCGTCGTAGGTGCCGAGATCCGGTCAACGGGACCAGCAGTCACTGTTGGTGAAGTCAATGTAGTGTTTGCAGAAATGGGTATTGGGGTCCGCTGGTTTTTGATTAGTGTGTACGCACTTTGTGGTCTGCTAGCAGGTGATGGAGTCGTAGCTGTTGGCTGTCCCTTTTTCATAGTCGTACTAACAATTTTTTTATACTGATAACCTATTATTCTGCGATCTGGACCATAGATTGGCCTACTGATAGACTGTGTGGATAGTTGACTTTGCATTGCAGGCACGTTGGATGTCGCTGCTGTCGGTGGGGTGGCACTTCTGTTCTGGACGGGTAAACCAGTCATTCCGGCGGCATTGTTGGCTGACGGCACTACTCTACCCGATATCCGCAATGGGGACACATGTTTCTTTGTAGAAATGTTAAGATATTTAGCGTAATTTTCAAGCAGTTTTGTACCCACATCGACGTCAATGGGCATCAGTATGCTGTTTTTTACAATCTCCTCGATTGCGCTTTGGCGTTCTGCTATCGTCAATGTTACAACACGATTGGACAGCTTTTGCAGAACCAAGTCAAACAGTTGAACACGAGATTGGAGCTCAACACGAACTTTGTCAGTGGGACAAATGGGCGGTAATTGCAGCAACATTGCATTTCGATTGGGCAGTGATGAGACAATACCTCGCTGTACCTGTTTCGGCCGCACATCAATATTGCCTGCTACGGGAGTTAATGCAATAGGTGGTGTCGTCGATACCATTGGATTAGTTACAGTTGATCCAGTTGCTAACGTTGATGGAGCCGATACTTTTGTTTGACACGTTGGTTTGACTGGTACAGCGGTAGGTGGCGCCGGTTTTGATGTTTGTGCTGGGGTTGATGGTGCGGATGCTGTAGCGGCGACTGCATCGGACTGCATACCCAGCATCTGCACTACACAGGGGAGCCCCTCCTTAGCAGCCAAATGTTCTAACTTAGCACGGACTTTGTGCGGTATGTTCTGATCCTGCTTAGAGATAATCTTGGTCGATACTACCAGGAATTGCGGCAATTCTAGCACGGGAACCTCGGCTTTGCAATGAAGGCGGGTTGGATCTATGGCACGCATGGGTCCATCTAGATTGGGGCAGCAAAAGTCTAAGCCCACTTGGCCATAAGAGCGTTGGTATCGCGAAGGGTAAAGAAATGAGAAGACTTTTGTAGCGCCGAAAGTCTGCACTTCTGTGACGGGGGCAGTAGTGGTGGAAGTGGTGCTATTATTGCAGCTACTTGGCCGGCCCAGACTGGTTGTAGACTGTTGTTCAACATCTGGCGCTGTGTTCACTGAGGGCATGGCAGCTGTTGTTAATGGACTAGTGTCCTTTTCATGCTTTACCTCTGGTACGATCACGGGCTTAGGTACAGGTGCAAGTGCCATGGCTACAAGAGGCGCTGACGGACGTAACTCTCCAACAGGTAACAGGTCAGGCGCACACAATAGGGTGGAATCGTTAACTTGTTCTCTTCGAACGACTGACGAAGTTGTTGTATTTTCATAACGCTTTTGCCGCATTGCAGCTAATCCAGAAGCATTCTGTTGCAGCACCTCTTCGCTAGGCAAATGCTCGACCATCTCTTCAATGTTCAGCTTGAGTGAGTTGTCGGTGGTCACCTCTGGTTCTGAGCGACAAATCTGACGTCCCAATGTCTTCGTTTTCTGCCAATTTTTAACTATTTTGCGATTCAAGCGAACGCGCAACTTTCGTACCTTTGATACCAATGGTTGTGGTGGCAAATAGAGTTCCTTGGTAAGTTTATCAGCCGCCAATAGTTGCTTCTGCTCAACAACAACAGATTCCGGTTTTGTTTGCTGCTGTTCTGTTTTATTAGTTTTCTTTTCCTCTGTAAGGGCCAATTCACCTTGACTTTTTTGTTGCAAGCTCGCTGCCATAATACGCACGGGAAAAGCAATAGGTGGGGAAGGTTGCTCAGGCCGTCCCTTAACACGTTTTGCATTTTTAGCTGTTTCAGTTGCTGGCATCGTTGCTACTGTTTCAGTTGCTGCAACTGCCGCTTTACGCTTTCTTGATGGGGGATGATTTAGCGCTTGACTTATAGGCAGTGTCGTTTTACTAGTTGATTCTGTTAAGATGCTGTCCACCTTCTGCAGCAAATCTGCTTTTCGCGATCTACGCTGCTGCTTTTCGACCAACGCCGACGATTTTGTTGTAAAATCTGGTTTTGTAATGACTTCAATTTCAGTCTGTGGCGTGGCAATATTTGTGAGAGTCGATTCATTCGATCCATCTTTGGGCAGCGGTTCTGTATTACGCGTTGCCACAGTTAGTGTTGTCGATTTGGTATCCGAATTATTAACACCTGATGTACCTTGCTTCTGTGTTGTAGCAGTTGCCTTTTCTACGGTTGCTTCCATCGTGTCTTCGCCAGTGCGCAGAGCACGGGGCAAACGTTCATTAGAAGTTTCCCTTTTCGAAGCCAGTGTTATTGGCTTTGGTATATCCTTTGCAGATGTATCCTTGCTCTTCTCAGTTGGCTTAGTTTTTATTTTGATATTTGGTGGAGATGCATTGACCTTGTGTGCTATAGACTTGCGTAGGTCGATAAATTTGCCAAGATGCGTTTGTATCAAAGGTTTCTTAGGCGCTTCTGATTTATTCGGAATTTCACTTGACTTTTTGGAATCCACCTCAGTTGTAATTATTTTAGGTTGTTTGATCGGCAAGTTTTGGTTCAGTGATGTGTTTGCAGTTTTTTCATTGTCCATAGCTTTAGAGAGCGGTGGTTGAACTGGTTTTTTAGCAGAGTCTGCAGATGACATCGCCTTTCTGCCAGCTATAGCCGAGGGCGACGACTTCTTGTTTGTAATTTCACTTTTGGGCACAGACTTTCTGGTATTAATAGTTAAAGGTAATGGCTTTTCACTCGGAGTTTCTTTAGAAACATCGGAAGTCGTATGAGTTTTATCTATGGCCGCTTCTACAGGAGTGCCAAAATTGTCCTGCATTTGACCTAAAGAATCCTTTGACGCCTTTTGTGTCTCAGTATTCTGAATTATGTCCTTGGGTTTTATTGACATATTTTCAGTCTGTTTTTTGGGCATTGCAGTTGCGATCTGCACAGCATCTTTGGATTCTGTTTTTTGTAATATGTATGGTTTCTTTCGTAGTGTTGAAGTCGATGGCTCTGAAATCGTTTGTAAATCGATATTGCCATCTGACTTGCGTGACGCGGACTTATCATCAATAATGTGACCCACAGGTTCCTTAACTGGTGAAGCTGTTGGTCTTGCTGCTGTTGTTCCTTTCAGCTCTGCTCTAGCAGCAACTGCCTTTGTTTTTTGAGGTTTTTGTTCAAGTTGTTCACGTATATCGGACTTTGTATGTTCCAAAAGCGTGCTGCAGCTTGCCGTAATTTTTATCCGCTTTGAGCCTGTTTGTCCTTCCTCTAGTTGCTTGCGACGTCGCGCTTTTGGGTATGAAATTGATCGGTAATTAGATAGCTAAATAGTTTTTGTATCGCACTTACCCAATGTTGTGGTTTTAGTCACGTTAGTTTTGAACTCTTCCATCTTAGATGATTGATGTGCATGCACAATAGGCTTTGACATTTTAATAGCACGCTGTACCTTCGAGGATGTTCTAGCCTGGAGCTGCTTTCGCTTCGCCTCTATAAGGTAGAAAAAAGGGGATAGGAAAGGAAAAAATATATATTAGTATGGAATTACAGTTTGTGATGGGCAAAATAAATGATTAGCTATTAACCGTCTGGCTGTGTGGCCTCGGATTCACGTTTGCGTAGTGAACGTTCATGTGTCTGGTGATTTGACTGTTCGACATTAGCTGTGACACCTGTTATTTCGGTTGTTCCTTCGGAGTTCGCAACGTTGCATGTCTCTGTACCTTCGTCTCCTGTAGATTTACAAATTTTTATTGAAGTCTGAGCAGTATCTTCATCTTTTGTTTCTGTTGTTTTCAGGTCATCGATCTTCATTTGATTTTTTTCGGTATTATCAGATGAATCCGTTTGATGCTGTGCGCCGTCATGAGTCATCAGTTGCACCGATAAGCTATCAGTTTTGTTTTGCGGATTAGGCTCATTCGAATTTTTGGAATCTATTAAACTTTCTGTGATTTCTTTGGGATTGTCAAGTGAAAGATAATCAAATTGAGCGACTGTTTCGGGGGTATCGTTTTTAATTGAATCCATCTCAGGCGGACTTTCGTGCTCTTCGGATCTAAGTTTTACCCGTGGTCGTTTACGCAGTGCCCATTTTGTAGTTTGATTTTTAAAACTTTTGACGATTGACCGTTCAGGTGAAGTTTTACTTTTGCTTTGATGATAATCCGAAGCACGTGATGGATGTACGGTAGCCAATTCAGATTTCTCCACCTGTCTGTCTTCATTTTTCACATCTGTACAGTTTTCCCTCAAGGGCCGATTAATAGAGAGAGATTCATTCGGCTTCAATTCTCCTTCTTCGAGGTGGTTATCATTTACATTTTTATTCTCACTTTGAATTAATATTGTCGTATTTTCCTCAACTTTTTCCAATCCAACACCCAGGGTTGTAGACTCATCTGATACCTGCTCCTTTGAAATATTTAATTTGTCAGCTGTGTTGTCAACAGTGTTAGGTTTGATATCAACGCCCGATTCAACGGTAGGCGTTTTTGCTGCAGTCTCAAGTCTTTCGAAGAATTTAGGCAGCCTATCACTTGATGTTTTTTTAACTAAAATTCTTAGCTTACGACAAGAGTTAGTCGATGAGGTGGAACTTGGAGTTGATAAGATAGTGGGGTTTTCAATTTCATCAACCACTTTTCCAGATTTAATACTAATTTGGTTTTTGGCAAAACTTTTAGCCTTAGAAATATTTGTCTGGTTATCCTTTTGGGATTTTTGCTCGGTTTCCTTATCATCTTTCAGCTTATTACGTTTCTCACGTTTTGATACTGCCGTTTGCATTACCTCTTTCCTACTTCGAGTACTTATGAAATGATCTTCTTGCTTTACCTTTCCATTTTCATCGCTGGTAGCATTGATATTACTAGTTTCTGTAGTCGTTGGGGTTTTGCTGACTTCAGATTCCATTTCTTTCACTACCACTTTAGATCTGCGAGTTCTCATGACCTCTGAGGTATCCTTTTCCAAAATATCACCTTTTTGCATTACATCCATATCCTTTCGACTACAGCTCTTTTGTTGTTGTGCGTCAGCTGTACACAAAAGGTTTAGGGATTGTGTAGGTTCAATTTTAGTAATCCTAGTACCCATTTTATCCACCGGTTTTATCACCGTTTTGCTACTTAGATTTGCTTGGTCTGTGCTTCCAGAGACAGGCGACTTGTCAACCAACTTGCTGCTACGTGCACTCTTTTCGCGCGTTGTTGTTTCATTTCCGGTACATTGTAAACGCCTTGAGCTACGACTCTCACGACCTTGTGTGGGGACAGCGTTTTCAATCCGTAGATTGGAATCAAATTTTTGTAATCTAGTGACAGACCTGTCACGAAGAGTTCGCCTAGGAGTGTCCAGCTGTATTTCTGAAGACTTCGATTTTAATTGTATATCCTTTGATGTCGTAGCTATATGTAAGCTATCAAGCTTTACTTCGGGGGAGTTTTCGCTCGCAGTTTTAAGATGTGTAATATCTCCTTCTTTGTTGCATTTATGTGAAATGGGTTTGTTTCGAAGTTTATCTTTTGCGTTGTCTTCTTTAACTTCTGGTGCAGGGTCTTTTTCTGTTACAATTTGTTTACTTATTTCTTTGTCGACGTTATTTTGCACAATTTGTAGGCTATCAACAATAGGTTCCGCAATGTTCTCTGTCAATTTTTCGTGTTCAGAGTATACATCTTTATTTAACGTGCTCTTATCTTTAATCGGTGTTTTAGTTGATTCTTTATTTACCGACACAGCAGATTCTTCCGGGATTTCTGGATGTTTATTGAATTTAAATTTATTATCATGTTCCGTAACGAGTTTAAGAGGTTTATTTGGATCTTGCTGAAGAGTGTCCATGTTTCTTCCCGAACAAAATTCAGTCGCTTCTTCAGTAAGTTTTTGATCAGCTGTTACATCATCTACAGAATTTCCTTTTTCTATTGTGATTTTACTTGGGTTGTGTGAAACTTCAGCATCGCTCTCTTTTAATTGCTTTGATGACATATTTAATTTTATTTCGCTTTTCATAACATTTATGTTTTCCTCCTCTGTCGCGTTCAGTTGTGCTTCTTTTGGTCTCAATTGTTTCTCTGATTGGTCATTCAATTCTAGTAGACTTGAAAATTCATTTAATGCTGGTTTAATCGGCACTTCTTGATATTCCTCTGTTGTTTTCAATTCTTCGGAACATTTACTCAATAGAATTGCGACTTCACTTAAGTTGTGGTCATCTAACACTTTCAATTCCTTCGATTGTTTATCTATTTCCAATCCATGTTCAACTTTACTTAAGTTTTCTTGAACTAACGGACTCAGTTGCTCCTCCGTCAGTTGAAGTGTTTCCGGCTGGTTTTGTAACTTTAGCAGAGTCGTTAAATCCTCCGTAATAGGCAATTCGGACAGTTTATCCAATCCGGACGCATCCATCTCTTCATTTGTGATTTTTTGAATTGAAGTTAATGACACTGGTTGTTCAATTTCAATAGTCGTTAAATCACCCAAATGTTCTTCAAGTGTGGTATTGTTATCCTCAGTACTAGGCAATGCGGGCAGTTTATCCAATCCGGACGCATCCGTCCCTTCAGTTGTGATTTTTTTAATTAAAGTCGTTGATACTGACGGTTCAATTTCAATAGTCCTGGAATTGGGATCGCCTTCGCCATTTTTTGTATCGTAAATGAATGGCGATTCTGTTATTGTTCCTTCATTGGACATCAGGCTGCCCGCTGGAATTTCACTTTCAGTCATTGCGGTCGAAATAACCGGTGCACTACTGATCTCAAGACCTTGGTCATACTTATTATCAGATTTTTCTTTTTGCAACGCTACCAATTCATCTGTATCTTTGGCTAAATTGTCAATATTATTTTCAATACTGGAGAGATCCTTGTAGTCCGATTCTTTATTTGAGTTTTCTACTATTATCTGTGAACCGCTCTCTTCTAATGAATCTTGCTGTAAATCAACAGACAATGGTGATACGCTTTCTTGAAATGTCACTTTCAGTAACTCGGTAATAGTCGATTCGTCTGCAGATTTTAACATAAACTTGTCAGCTGAGCTCGTTTTTAATTCTGAGTCGCTGGACAGTGTTTTATCGTTCTGCCCCAAAGGAATTTTCTCTATATCAGTTTCATCTGCATTCGTCTCAATAGTAGCGGCTCTTTTCTTTTGCCGTAAGCCGCATCTTCGCTTTTGAATTTCACTGTCGCTTTTCACGCTAAGTTTTTCATTGTCAAAGGGTTCTGCAGACTCATTATTATCTCCCCTGGTTAAGTTTTCCTGGTTTTGAGCACCTCTATGCTTCGGCAGTCTACCACGTCGCCGCTTGGATAGGCGATTAACACAACGAGATTGCTTGTCAGGCGAATACGTTAGCTTTCGAATATGACTTTGAGTCGAAGAGAATGTACTAGCACCATCTTTTGAGATACTACGAGGCTTAGAGTTAGACCGCTTCTTAAACTCAATAGCGCGTTCCACACCAATGTCCATTATCTGTTCGGCCAAGTCCAAGCTCATACGTTCTAGTTTCTCGTATGTTAAATTTTCATCAACATAATCAGCTGCATATAGTCTATTATTAACATTTGTTTTGTCTGCACTACTGTTAGCAATTGCCGGCGACTTTGCTTTGCAATTCGGCGTACAAGATGATTCTTCCAATGTTGCAGTTGCTGCGAAACAAACCAATAGTTGACAAATCATGTTATATATTCATGTACATAAAAGAAGCGAATCCCAATCCCCACACTTACCCACTATGTCCGCTTTTGTTTCTTTAACCTGTTCTAGAGTTGAGATTTCGTTGAATGCACTAATTTCTCCACATTTCTTCGGTTTTGGTTTTGTTTCCGATATGGATTTTTTTCTGGAACGCATTTTTTTAGTGCTGGCCTTTTTAGACGTTGGTGTGCGTGGCACAGCCTCCGCGCTACTAAGATTATTCAAATACCACTGTAAACGTTCATTATCGCCGTTTGAATGCTGGACCTCATCCTCCGAAATAATAGGTGTCACATCGTCTACACAGTTTATGTTTTACGTATATATTATGGCATAAAATCAGAGGGTTGGCAGTATCAACTAGTATTATACATTAACTTACCCGCCATAGAGTTCGTTAAGCTTGTATCTGTCGAAATGTCAATGACAGGATCAATTTCATCTCCGTCCGTATCGTTGTCATCATAGACATCAGACTCAAACTCATATGATGAATCATCTGATTCACCAAAACATTCCAATAAATCTAAGAAATAAAGTCAAACATATTATTTGACGAATCAAAAATAACATAAATATATAAAATAATTTATTTGCTTACTTAAGGGATCCTTTTTGGCTACATTTTTGCTAGATTTTGATGCTGTTTTTTGAGGCTTGACTAAAGTTACACTTTTATGCACGCTTGCATTCAATGGACTCCTTCTATTGTGTTTTTTGACTGGTTGGGATATTTGAATTTTGGAGCTAGCCACAGGACTGGAAGCATTGGAAACCTTTCGCTTCGGTACGACTGAACTTATTTTATGCGTAATAATCTTGCTATTTATTGGGGGACGTCCTTTTATGCTACCCACTTTTTTAGCACTAGTACTACCAATGCTGCCGCTACTACTGGGCTTGTTACCGCCGTCAGTAGGAGATTTTTTCGAAATAACATTCTTAGTGGTTGATTTTTGAGCCGATAATATCTTTGAATTTGGTCGCATCAAAACGGCACCTATGTAAAGGGGATGTTAATTCGCACATATACAAATGTGCATGACAATGTACTTACTCAAATCATCGAGTGAATCGAATGATTCGTAACGGTCCCGCTTCTTGGTTTTATTTTTTGTGTTTTTCCTATTGAACAACGCATCCAATGCATCGTTAGAATCACTTGATGATGACGAGAGACGACTCCTACCTTTTGAACCAACTTAGAAGAGACAACAAAAAATCAAAAACCAAAAACGTCACGCCCGTATTTAAAATCTTACCCTCTTGCAGCAGTTCATCGTCGATAAGTTTTCCGTGGAATAATTTTTGAAATATATCTGCATCAATAGACGAAGAACCGCTTGAGTCTGATGAAATACGTCTTGCATTGCCACGCACCGTCATACGAGAAGCTGCAGAAATGGATGCAGATGGCCGAGTGGTTGTCTTTATGCCTAAATTAATATATACATATGTCTTTAAAGGCATTGAACTGTCAAAAACACAGAGCTCAACACGTACCCGGTAGCACCAAATCCTTGTATTCATCCAGGTATTCTATATCTTCCATATTCATAGGTAAACTTTGTGCTTCTTGCCGCTTTAAACACTTAGCAATATCATACCGAAATCAAGGCTAAGCGATTTACTATTTTACTAATTCATATCGCATGCATACATAGCAACAGTAAAGAACTATTATAAGTGAAAAATGGTCAATTTTATTGCAAGCTGCGGCGATTTGCGCAGACTGTGCTTTGTCATCCACGTGCAAAACAAATTATTTTCTGTGTTTTGGTTGTGGAGAGGGTGTTCAATCTATTATTTAAGCCATAAAGTTGGTTTTTCTTATTAATTGTACGATAAGCGTATCCAAATTAGAACTTTTACACCACCTTAACTTAATGCAAAACAAAACGCGGATGCGCACTTTCAAGCTAAATGGACGCCTTACGATAGCGTGATGCATTTCGATATTAGCTCTAGTACAATACTTTTCGATAAGGGTCGATAGCTTAATCGATAGCTTAATCTCATGGTGAGATTCTAATTATTTAGGTACAAATAATAAAGGTAAGGATTGGGGATGTAAGTCGAAGAGACAACATCGATGTCGATGTCCACTGATGTCTCTTAAAAAAAAAAACGATGCATGGTCGATGCATCGCATGAAACATCGATTAATTTTAAGGAGAAAATCAACAAGCTTCTCCAATGTATTTCGTTGTGCATGTTTCTTCGTGCCTCATTGTGTCAACATGGCCACGCACGAAATCGGAGGAAGAAATTCGACACGCGTGTTAACGCCGTGCAACGATGGGCCACGAACAAAAACCGCCGCTTATACCCATACCTTACATGATTGGGTGTGTACTGTGCCCAACTCTTTTAAATTTTGCTTAGTGTTGCCTAATACGCAAAGTGAAAAACGTATTTATATATTTTGAAAATAATTAAATACCAAGTTGTAGCTCTAGTTCTGTTGAATATACTTATACCGCAAATATAATATGGATCAGACGAAATTTGTAACACAAATTTTTCATTTAAAAAATTGGGATGAAATTTTTTAAACAATCGTTGGAGCCCAACGAAAAATTACCCTCTTTGAAGTTTGATTTTTTTTTCAAAATGGTTTTTCAGTTTTCACCTACACCACAAAAGACAACTCGAGTCGAAATTTCAGGTTTCTATATTTTTCCATTATGGTTATGCGTTGATTGCATATAGCTTTTTGTGTCCCGATTTTTTCACGACTAAACTGCAATTTTTCAAGCCTTTAAGACAATTCCAAAAAACAAAGTATGCAATTTATTTAGTATTTTTTCAGAGAGTATACAGCTACGGAGGGAGCTATCCGTTTGATCAACTTGTATTATATACATACATATGTATATGTACATACGTACACATGTAAGTATATAGATTGTTGTAATGTGATTTTTTATTCCTACTATTATTTTTATTTAACCTACTAAGCCAACATTTTAATTCGTCATTATAGGCGATTCCAGGCAGGAATAAACATAAAAATATCTACAATGGGGTAGCCAAGCTGCCCCAGTCGAATTTAGGGATTTAGCGCTGGATTTAGGCAGCCGCATTCAAAGCTAGCCGCAAAATAGTTGAAGAAAATACATATAACATGAGAGTACAAATTACTGCAAATAACGCGTTCACTAGCTCTTACTAAGAGCACCACAAGCGATCCCCAATCGCTCTCAATGGTATACATGTTAGTCTCTGTTTGATATGGTTGAAAGAATTAATGAACTGTAGAAATATTTGCATAAATACAATAAATAATACTCGTTTCGTAATGGACTAGCACAGGGTAAGTGCCCATCACTATTAGAGCTGTTTCGATTGCTGTCACTTTTTGGCGTTGCCAGCTCCTCGTTTTAGTGACGTGTAATGACAGACGTGGCCAGAGCTGTCAAATTCAAGAGCTGTCTTTACTCTCATTTTCCAGGTCAGCAACGCGCAGGACGGACATTAATTTCTTCATTTATTACAACCTACAAAAATAAATAAAAATGGTAAGTAAATAGCGACGAGCGTAGCATTTATCAACTTCCTAAATTATTATCTTTCAGCCGGCTCCAGCAAGTTCCACTTCCGTTGGCAGCGGATCACGTTCACCCAGCAAACTGTCGGCGCCACGTAGCGCTGGTGCGGGCAGCACCTTAAAACAGCGTAAAACTACCAGTAGTAATACAGCAGCCAGAAGCCGTGCTCCCGGTGGCGCAGGCACAGGTGGCATGTGGCGTTTTTATACAGATGACTCGCCTGGCATCAAAGTGTAAGACATTGGTAACAGCGATAGATTTGATCTTATTTCTGTGTCTTATTTTGCAGCGGTCCAGTCCCAGTGTTGGTGATGTCCTTGCTTTTTATTGCATCTGTATTTATGCTACATATTTGGGGCAAATACAACCGTTCGTAAAACACATTTCGCTGGGACTTAAATACTTTCACCAAAACAAACGCAGAGGGCCCCACTATCGACGTCATCAGATTTTATTGACATCAAAAAACCAAACAGATTCACTGGCGCGGTTGCTTCAGCATTCCCTTTAGTTGGGGCATTGGTGTTTTCCATTTGAAATTATTACATTAGCTTAAGTTACCGTCGTTACACCATAAAATAATTTCTTTGAATAATTTTCCAAATTCATGTCTGATTCTTGTTGACAACTTGAGTTTATAGCAAAAACTCTTTCCACAATTTATCATGGTCGTGAAAGATTTATTTTGTGCATTATTTCCTCGCACCGCCGATGCGAATACGAAATTCATAAAGTGCTAAGATAAAATACAAACGTTTTATACAAAAATAATTATGACAACTATTGTTCTGGGGAAAAGTTGCGACCGAAAAAAAAACAACTGAATTTAAAGAATAGTTACTTAGTTATTTAAGGCATATATTGAGATATACATATAGCTATATAAACATAGATTCGTATTGGAACAATTTTTCATATACAACATTTAGCTTTTGTAAAATACTCCAAGAAACTAACGCTAAGCGGATTTAAATACTCGTTCAGTAATACATCAATTCAGAAGGTGAAATCTATACAGTGACTCCAAATCGTGTAGGATTTCTAAAAAAAAAACAGTTTTTGGGGGATTTCTCGCTGACGTGCATATATGTACATATGTATGTACTTATAATGCAATAAATATAAATACTCTATTAGCTGTTTATATTCTTGTTTTGTTGGGGATAGTATGGTATTAAGCACTTTGATTTAGATGAACTTCCCATTAAGATTATAATCATTTCTAATTATTTTAACAATTAAATACCAAATAAACAAAACTAACTAGAGTGATATCATGTAGAGTTCATATAAGCTGGTACACCAAAATGACAAATTTCATAGAAACACAAATAGATAGATAATCATGTTTAAAAAATTTGAAGCTATGTATATTGATAGTTTTTTACGTCCCTACCTCAGCCGGTAAGTTTATAGGTGTGGGAAATATTTATTTCGTGACAATAACTATTCGGCGACATTGAACCTAACGACATTCGGTTATACATAATTTGGTGAATTCAACGGCAAGTTGAATAACGAAGGTGTTGAACAACGACGAATGTTCCATTTCAAATATATTTATCGTTTAAAATTATTTTTCTCTTTTTTAGTTTTAACATATAAACACTGAATTTGTCCTCGTTAATTATTTCGTTTGACAATATTTTGTGCAATTTTTTAATTATATTTTTTAAGTTTTATGTTCTTTATTTAACTTGAAGTATATTGATAATATTATAAAGTTTAAGCAATAATTTGTTTTTTTTTTTTTTTAAATATATTAAACGGTTCAGTTTTTATACTATGTTCCACTCTGGCATGTCTTTCTTGTTTCAGATTATAGTTGTCTGGAAACATAGAGGGGTGGTACTACTTTCAATCAATTTTAATTTAATTTTTCTCAACGTTTTTTATTTTATTCCCTTTAGTTGAATTGACGTAAATTTCTCCAAAACTGTTTTGCATTGTTCTCTGATGTTTTAAAGGTAACCCCTCATCGTTTATTATACGAGTAGGAACTAAATCAGGGGTAACATGTACATATGTATGTATATATGTATATACTTTCTTCAATTCCCATTGTCATTTGTACGGAATATTTTAGTGTGCTTTACACACATACATATACATACATACTTCGTGCAGCGAAGTATTTAAAGTATTTAATTTTAATAAAATGTAATCAAAATATTATTTGAAAAACAAATAACTAAACATACATAGATACAAATATTATTAGTCTGGATTTTGACATGCGAATTCCGTTTCCAAGTCTGATACCAAATAAATCTCGATTTTCAATTCATCGAATCGAAAACATCAATGGCATGTGTCGACATTGAAGATTGAATTTATCGTACAAGTTCGATATATCGAAGACATAGAGATTCCCTACATCTCTTAAGTTTGTTCTTCCATTTCCTTCGCTGCTTCAGATGTGGTTAGAACGTTTTTCCTTTAATTTGAGGGAATTAAAAAGTTGTGCTTAAAAATAATTATGTAGCTGTATACAGGCAAATATGCTACATGCCTTTAGTTTAAAAGATTTAAATAGGAATTGCGGATGCAACCAACATTTTCGGATTCGACTCACAAAAGGTAGGCAAGCAGCGTTTTCGTTTGGTAAGTGAAACATTTTTTTTCTGATGATTGTTCATTTGCTGAAGAGTCGAATGCAAATATTATTGCAAAATATTATTTGTTTTCTTATCTTGTAGAAAGAATAAGAACGGCCAACTGAAAAATGTTTTACCACTTCTTGCTTGAATTACAAATGCATGTTTTAATTTCCTCTTCTGTTACAGATGTTGAACACGTGGTACCGGTCTCGAAAAAAATGCAATGGTGGCCGTAAGTATCCATATGTACATACACATGCCTATTTTTAAATAGACATGTATATGAACATATTTTCTTTGACTTGAGATGTAATTTAAATATGATGATAAGTTTATTCTGAAGAAGAATTGTTGATTTCAACTTAAAATTATAACCAAAAGGATTCTGATAGTAATACCTTAGAAAGACTAATGAAGGAAGTTTATTCAATATAATAATACATATATGTATTTTACTTTTGCAGTTAAAAACGGAACTTGTAATATCTAAAAATAATGGTAAGTTGAGTTTTTTCAAATTATTGTTAAAATGAAATATCTAAAATATGATGATAATAATTACCGTACGATTTTCGTGATTAAAACTTTATGGCTGCATTTATGCAACTGATTTAAATTGTAATTTTAACCTGTACCATTCCAGAATTTACGCAACTAACTAAAATTTAATTTATTTCAGATATGTTGGGTTCTCCTTTTTATGATGAAGATATGAAGGTGGGTAGAAATTTCTAAATTTTAAATAACTAATACAAATCTAGATACACACCCCATTTGAAGATTATAATTGTCACTCAAGAATATACTGGAGTCTGTCATCTTGTTTTGTTTGTTACAACATCTAGAAAATTTAGTAACAGGATGGAAAGTTTACAATAAAAAAAAGTTGAAAAGTTATCGTAATTCGAGGGGCAATATCTAGATCTATGTATGTTAAATTCGAATTTGTATTGTGATGAATACCTTTATATATTAACTTTCGTTCTACTGAGAAGAAAATGCGGAACATTCTTACTGAATCTATGTACTAATTAAATAATAACCGCATAATACACCCTTTATAACATCTATATATGTGTTATTTTCTATTTCAGAACATATTCGGCAGATTGGAAGCCGGTTGATGCAACAGAAAAGTAAGTAAATGTTTAATTAATTGTTTAAATATTATCATGATGAAAATTCTATACTGAAAACATCTTTGCTGATCACCAAAAGAAAAACCAAAAGGATTCTGAAAACAATTTACATAATTTATGTAGACATTCAAAACATCTTGATTAAAAATAAATTCTTTTTACAGTAAAGATGAACCATGATGGGACAGTGAATTTAGCTTTTTTAAACCCAGAGACCGCAACGCACGGGTAAGTTAAAAACATATCATCTGCATATTCATATATTAATAAAAATGTAAATGATGTTCCTTCTTAGTATAGTTCATTAGAAGCAAACATGTTACAACTTTTGAAGCTGATAATATATTTACAAAGCGTAAAGCTTCAGCTTAAATTTTGAATTAATGTGAATTTTCTGCGTTTTTTGCAGCTCTTGGATTTGTGTATTTTATGGCCATCTTTTCCGAATAAAAAGGTACTTAACTTTTAAAATTGGTCCGCAAAGATACCCATTAACATGATGAACATTTCCTAATCAGGATCCCTCTACTGAGTAGAACCCAATAAAAACCATGCGGTCAAACTTTTCTAGTCTGAGCCAGTTATAACATATAAAATATTGGATATCTTTCTCCCATAGTTGTTAATGATATTTATTTTATCTCAATCCAACAGATCTATTTTACCTGGAATAGAAATATACAATATGTGACCTATTGGCAAGGAGTATAAATTAGGTAATTAAAATTGTATATACTTTATAGCTTAGAAAAGTTAAGTGATGAATACACCCGCAGGGTACCAACTGAATTAAGCCAATGATGTTTAATTTTTGTCTTCTTTCCCCGACTGATACAAAAAATGTTTAACGTACTTATAGATTAAGAACCACATTAAAGAATACATTCTCATTGCAGATATAAACATCCTGAAATGGCGGCTTCGATAGACAACCATCTATACCAGCGGTGGTTGAGCACTATAACAAAAACCACCTTTAGTTATGAGTAAATTCTGCTGTAAAATCGATCAACGATACGCACTATGAGTATTTTGATTTTACATAAATCTACTTGTGCGTCTGGCTGGCGCCACTTACTAAAATATAACGGAAAGAGCCACCGCTTATCTCTAAGCAATGTGTATTGTTTGTTGTAAAATAAAAACTGCTCATTTTCTTAAAATATACATTAATGTATTTTTATTGGTTATTTTTTACTTCAGCTCGCCACAGGCGTATATAACAATCTTTTGAGCCGGAGTGCCTGATTTTGTGCCGCAACGCTCCATTTTTCGCACCACATCGGCACCGCTAATTACATGGCCGAAAACCACGTGCTTGTTGTCCAGCCAGTCAGTTCTGAAAAAAATCAAATGTGATTTGCGTTAAGACTAGTCCGCTTTTTACTAACTTGGTCGTGCATATAAAGAACTGTGAGCCATTTGTATTGGGTCCAGAGTTTGCCATAGAAAGCGTACCGAAACTGTTGTGTTTCAAATTAAAGTTTTCATCGTTGAATTTTTTCCCGTAAATAGATTTTCCACCAGTACCATTGTTGTTGGTGAAATCACCACCTTGGCACATCTGCGAAAGGCATTATATATGCTATAACATGAATCAATCTTTTAAAAGTACTTACAAATTCTGGTATCACCCGGTGGAACGTACATCCCTTGTAACCATAGCCGTGTTCATGTGTACAGAGGGCTCGAAAATTTTCCGCAGTCTTTGGGACTACGTCAGCACGCAGCAGCATAACAATACGCCCAGCATCATTGCCACCAATACGAATGTCAAAGAAAACCTGTGGATTTCTTTTTTCTGCTTTTTCAATAACAGCAGGGCCCGTTGGAGGCGCCGGCGTGTTTTCTGATTCGGGTTCGCCATCTGGTGCTAGGGTCGCCCCGGCGTGTTTCTGTAACCAATCGTCATCCGCCCAAACAGGTTTGAAGCTATCTTCCTTCACGCGTACTGGTTTGGCCAAATTGACACGTATTGTACGTCCACACAGCTCTGAATCGTTCTACAGAAAATATATATTTATTTGATATGCCTATCACTCTTTCGACGTACGTACCATGTTGTCTATGGCGGATGCAGCATCTTCAGCCATCTCAAACTCGACAAAGGCGAATCCGCGATGGCGTTGGGACTCGAAGTCTACCGGCATTTGTATGTCTGCTATATCGCCAAATGGTATAAACGCGTTGGTCAAGAGCTTTTCTGTAACCTCGTCGGCTAAGCCACCAACGTACACGGTGCGTTTCTCGTTTGACATTATATTTATTTATATTACTTCATTTATAAACTATAAACAAATTTAACCAACGAACGACAAAAATTATCGAACAACAAATGCCGCCATTAATATGGCATTCGATAGTCGATACCTGGCCTCGAACATATGTCCTATATACAACAGTTGGCAACACTACAGTTTTGTTCGTCGAATCTGGTTTGATTTTAAAATCATATTGCTAAAAAGAAATCGAAATTGCGGAAGCGGGAATTTGGCTTTTAAAAAATGCATTGAGCTTTTTTACCGCTTTTTGTAATTTTGCCAAAACGTATGTAAAAAAAGTGGTAACGAGGCAGCTTTATCATTATTTTTTTTATCAATATTTGCCAAGGACACCACTATTTCAAACCATCTTTTTCTAAAAAGTGCGCGTAATTTGTAAAGGTGCGAATGTATTCATATCAAAAGAATACAAGAAAAAATGCTGAGCTGTTTGGCTCACCTACAGAGAAACACTCAATTCGATTTGTTTCTGGCACCTGAGCAACATTTGCACTACCTTTTTTGAATGCACATACGACACACAGAATAAAATGAGCTAATATTATATTAAATGTTCACCAATATGATTAAAAATCCTTGAAAATACATTTTTTGCAAATAGAAATGTAGCTTTTTTTACACTTTTTTGCAAAAGTTCTTAGCTTATTCATTATTTTACTCTGGGCAGGGTATATCAATAAATAGTACATGGTACATACGAATATTATTTGTGTTTTGTCTTCATAGGAGGCGCGGAATTTAAAATTTTTTTATCAAGTACTGTACGGTTAACATTGAAAGCAGCTGTTTTATATCTGGTTAATAAATTTTACAAGGAGAGTATTCCACTAGGCAAAGTTTAGTTTACCGCAAACTTACAAAATCTCTGGAAATCAAGGATCACAAATGCTGGACAGTAGGAATAGTAATTATCTCTGGAAACCAATTAAATGGAAAGTGGACTAATATCGTTTGTGTTGTAGAGGTCAATGTTATATTTTTTATGCCAAGTAGGAAGTGGACATTGAATACCATTTTGAAAAAGATTTCACCTTTTCATCATAAGTAGCAAAAGAGAATGACCCTTCCTTTTGGATATTCATTAAATAAAGCAACACCGTTTGGCCTCAGGCATTCGAAATATTCCAATTTATTTCCATATTTCTTTAATTTCTATTTTTAATATTTATTTGACTTGGCTGGAGCTAGATAGAAATGTCGCTGAAACACTGAAATATTATTATTTAAATTTAAGCAACTAATAAAAAATTCTACCAGAATAGGGAACACAGCATAGATAAGGGCCAACTTCATATTTCCATTAAACTGCCCTGTGTAGACATTAATTGGAGTAAGCCAGTCCGAAATTTTGGATAGGTAGGAATCCCAGTTCATGATTTCATGATTGTTGAAAAAAAGCAATATATGTATGTATGTACAAAATCCAAAGAATAGAGAGTGAATTGTATTTTTCAAATTTTTTATTTGGTGTTTTTATTTATAAAATGATTCAGCGCTAAAAAACTTATCTGCGCTCGTATAACTGGACGTATTACTGGCCGTTCCTGGCACCAGGAATTGAAAAAGTAGTAAACAGTAGCTCGGCACGTAGGCAAACGACGCGTAAAGAATGAGACACAAACAACTGCACAGAAGAAGATCTATAATGAGGAAAAGCACGAATTTGAATTTTGCCACTTCCATAGGATTTATAAATAGTATGTCGCGTTAATAACAGGCAATGCTGAACCTGGGCGGTGGCCTGACCGCAATAGATAAGATACCATTAAAAAATAAACAACAATTACTACAACGCTGCTCTGACTTTTACGTTGGTTGTTAGTTATTGGCAACATAATTCCACTTTTTTTTATACTAAAACTTTCATAGCCGGTGCTACTTACTGCAGAACACCTTCTCCCAGGGCTCGCAAATGGAAATTTGTGTATTGAGCTCATAGACAAAATATAGTCTTTGAAGGGAGCGTATAAATTTCTCATAAGCAGTTGGTTTGCGTTTGTTGTCGTCCATGGCGTTTGTAAGGTGCAAGTGAACGGTCTGGCCTGGTGCGTCTGAGAGTGCACGTTGAACTAAGCCACCTGCCGGCACAGGTGTGATCGTGGGCCATTGTCGTTGCTTATCTTAAAAGTTCGACAAGTATAAACTGATCGCTTTTCCCTTACTGAAGAGATAAAATGCGACCGTTCCCCTAAGTTTTATGCGTACACACGCTGTTTTATTGATTAGAGGCACAGTTAAAATATTGAACACGTCTTATCTGTGCTATTCTGCAAGTAATGGGGGATTACATACTGTTAGGGAGCATTCAGATGAGTCACTTATACTATCAGAGGCACTACTGATAATAGAAACACCCACACAGAAAGTATATCGTTGGCGTATGCATTAATATGGACGGCCACACAAAACTCAATGTTCGCATTGTTGTTGTAATGAATGCAAGTTGAACGTATTCGTTCCGATATTGCTGCGAGATTTGTGTAGGCGAAGTTGAGTGTGAAACCGTATAGCTGCAAGAGGTTAACGTTAAGTTAAGGTCCTTATATCAGAGCTGCAGACTTACTCTATAGTTTGGATACTCGCGCTCCAATTCTTCACTATACGAAGGCTCATCATAGTGTGGGCTGGTATGGGTAGCCAATTTTTCCATTTCACGCAATATGCTTAGCAACCTGGGCTGAAAGACCCTGAAGTGCATGTTAAACTATATAATTTACCTCATTCCATCATAATTCGCGCCTTACCGATTCCAGATGGTTTTACGTGTGGCCCGCCAGGCACTTATTTTCTTCATAACTTTCCGCTCTATTTGCTTTTGTAGCTCTCTCAGTTCGTAGCTTCTCTTAAAGACATAATCCAATTTTTGTACTCCACCTTGGGGTGTTGCTTTTCGTTTGCCAAATAATGGTAACCAACAAGCTGCATCGTTAAAATCAAAATTTGTCATGCTAATGCGTGTTTCCTCCTGAATATTGTAAAATATCTAAAAAAAGTCCAGATAAAAATTAATATATGTCACATCGCCTAATTGTTATATTCACGTTAATTGAAGTAATACCCGACCTATAAAGATTTCTTCTATTAAAACTTGTGCAACTCTTTAAAATTAAACATGAAAGAAATGCTAAAGTCGAGCAGGTTCAACTCTTAAATACCCTGTACCACCCCACAACAAAATTTAATTAATTGCATTAATTAATTAAATTAAATATAAAACATACAGGGTATAATTATATTTATATAACACGCAGAAGGATATTTGTTATAGCCTGTACCCAAAGGGTAAAAGGGTATATTAGTTTTGTGCGAGTGTACATGGAACACACAGAAGGAGGCGTGGCAGACCCCACAAAGTATATATATTCTTGATCAGGATGACAAGGCGAGTCGATATACAAGGTGTGTTCCACAGTGAACAGGACTTTAAAAAAAAAAACAGAACAAATGGGTTTTTCGGCAAAATCAATTTTTTTTATTCAAAATAGTCTCCTTCTGCTTCAATACAGCTTTGTTCACGATCCAAAAGCAGGTCGAACGAGTGTTTTAGCTCGTTGGCCGGTATGGCCACCAGTATGCTGGTGCAAGCCTTTTGAATGGCCTCTACGTCTGCATAACGTTTTCCTTTCATGGGCAAATGCATTTTTCCGAAAAGGTAGAAGTCGCACGGTGCCATATCAGGTGAACACGGCGAGTGGTTAATGGTTAAAATATTATTTTTGGTCAAATAATCGGTCACAAGCGTCGATCGTCTGAGCAATTTTTGGTCGTCAGTCAATTTGTGCGGAACAAACCGTGCACACACCTTTCGTAAGCCCAAATGTTTGGTCAAAATGCGATAAATCGATGTTTTGGAGATGTTTAATTCCATTTCCATCAATTTCAATGATTTTTGATGAATTCACGAACAGTTTCGTTGGAATTTTCGGTGATCACGAATTTTGATTGGCCCTCGACCACTTTGAAAACATTGAAACCACTCGCGAACTCTGCTACGGGATAGGCAATCATCGCCATAAACTTGTTCCATCAATTGAAACGTTTCGGTAAAAGTTTTACCAATTTTAAAACAAAATTTAATGTTGGCTCTTTGTTCGAAGCTCATTTTCGCACCGATAACACAAACATACTGACACTTAAAACGCAATAACTTCACTTCCAATCGATGAAATGTCATGAAATTCTCACTGAACAATCGATAAAGATAGCAAATTCTAACGCACCAGTCGACATATAGATAGCGCCACCAGGGGGCGCTAGATTCAAAAAGTCCTGTTTACTTTGGAACGCACCTTGTAGCCATGTCCGTCTGTCCGTCCGTCCGTCTGTATGAACACAAGGATCTCAGGAAGTACAAGAGCAAGAATAACCAAAATCGGTATCCAGATTCTCCTAAGTCCGAGAAAGGACAAGTTTGTTTTTCTGATGCACCCCCCACTCCCCCGCAATTTGTGTGCTTCCCATAATTCCCGTAACTCCCGTATTTATAGGAATTTTGTATTTAAAATACATTTATATAGTGATTATGTGTCTGTGTGCCAAGTTTCATCATGATAGGTTAGTTATGAAGAAAGTTATAGCCATAAACATAATCGCTGCCCAAGCTCTGCCGGCAGGGGTTGCTGATTTGACTTATTTTTTTACCCCCTTTGGTTATTCTAGCTTTTATAGATCCTTGCGTTCATCCAGACGGATTTCTAAATTTCATGCTGATCAAGAATATATATACTTTATGGGGTCGGAGATGCTACAGGTACAGGGTATAAAAATGAATTTGTTTATATGGGAGTGGGTGCGGCCCTGTTCGACTCTAGCATTCCATTCTTGTTACGGTTAAACTTTAAAGCATTATTATGCGGTCTAGACCTTTGTGTGCAGGGGATAATATATAATATAATATAAAATCCAATTATAAAAGTTCGCGTGTTTCAGCAACAAATTAATAATAAAATCAAGTAAAAATAAGAATTTATGTCTAATCGGGATATCTACTTACATTTTGCTGACCAACTACACAATATACACGAGTCAGCGGGCAGTAAACATCTTTGACACTATAGCGCTTACCCGTTCCGGGCGCCAGAAGCAACAGCTCACCACTGTCCAACTGCCTGTGAAGCACAAACGCGCATTCCCCAACGGGACAAGCAAGACCCAGGACTAGCCAGCATGGAAGGTCTAATGTGAGCATGAAGTTATACAGTAGTACGCCAAGATCCTTGGGAGAGCCCCAGGTACTATCCAACAACACTTGATTGTCTAGCCATACACCTTGGAAGCTCTGGCATGCATCGTAGCTACGTAGTTGAGAAATCAGCGACACAAAGCGACAGACGCTATCCAGTACATTAGTGCTAGTGGTAATGGGTAAGGGCACCGGCTCCAATAGTCTGGTGAGGCACACCCGCTTGCCATGAGCCGTGCACACCAGCGGGTCTACATAGCGTTCTGGCTTCATCTGCTGGAGTTCCAGCCAACGCTGTCGCTCAAGCAAATAGCTTTGTAACTCGGGCAACTCGGCACATGCCAGGGCTGAGGTCTGCACGGGCGGCAGCTCGTAATTACAGGGCTCGATGCTCAAGTAGAACCACAAATGAACAGACTCCTTCAACTCGGGATAATGTTCGGCTGCCATATTGGTGATGGAGTCAATCAGCGGACGCTTGTAGCCTACGAGCACCTTGGGCATGCATAGTTCTATGCAGCCCTCAAACTAAAAAAAAGAAGTTACATACATATGTAGATAGGTGCTAAGGTATTGCCATGACTTCTTGAATACTTTTTGCTTCACTAACCTTTTTGATAGCAAGCAGACTACTCATTGGTATCCGGTATTCACCTAGCCAGTTGCACTGCACCCGCTGATAGATATCTGCCTCATCACCATATGGCTGCTGTTGCTCGATCATTTCGTCGAAGAGCGTAATCTTGAGGTCATCACGTAACTCGCATATTTGTCCACTTAATTGCAATTGAAGCTGCTCATTCCAGGTGGGGTTCGAGCCCTCGGCGCTGCTGCTTCGACACAGGCGCTGACCATAGCTCAATGTGATGAATGGACGCACATTGGAGTACATTAGCGCTGCAATGCGAAAATAAAACAAGGAAGGAATGACATGGTCAAGCATATTTTAAAAAATTGTTTATAAAAATAAAAAAACGAATAAAATAAGGAATAAATATATAACCATTTACAAAAGTATTGTATCTATGTGCGTGCTCATGAACAGCTAAGAGGAGGGAAGAGGCAGAAATTACGCTTATGGCTATAACTTCCTTTACATTTGACCTATCATGATAAAACCCAGCATGAGGACACACAACTAACGGCAAGAAATTGCCAATTTTGTTTGTGTTCAAAATTCCAAGAATTACGGGAGATTTGGAAAATCGGGGGAGTTGGGGGTGCATCTGAAAAAAAACGTGACCTGCATAGCGCTTGTCCTCTTGATCAAGAATGCATGCTTTATGGGATCTGCCTCCTACTTGGTGTTTCATACATTCGTATAATTTCATCATTCGGAGATCAATGAATTTCAATCAATGAATAAAGAAAATATTTCAAAATAATATACATATGTAGATTGGCAGGGATAATTAGTATTATCTTCCGATTTTCGGAAGCTGCACATATATTTGGCAGTGGGTCGAACACTGTATGTAAAAACCGTGTTTCCATTTCGGAAAACCTAAGGATTTTTGGACTTCAGTCAATTTTAATTTTCATTTAACAAAGCCATGGCTAAGTACATAACTGTAATAAATCAAGTGGTTATGACTGACTAAGCGAAATAAATAGTCGCTTTCCCCAAAGATTGTGTCCGATTTCCGTATATTAGTATATCCGAATGTTTTATCCACCCTGAAGAACACAGATAACTTTTTAACTATGTATGTACATATGTACATACTCGTAGATATTAATGCATGTACATATGTACATATAGCAGAGGCAACTGGCTTGGTATGTGATCTTGAATTATGCATAGGCGGAGCACGTTTATTAAAAATGTTACGATCGACGCAAATTTTTGGAACCAGCAACTCTTAAATAATCTGGACACACTCCCACACAAAAATGATATGTGTGGAGTAGTTGAAACCTTTAACACTCCTTACACCGGGTATACAAACTTATTTGCTTACTACGAATTTTGTTTCTATATTCATTCATTCAAATTGGTTTGTTTGATCAAATAGAAACGATTGGGGAAACGGAGACTCTTTTAGTTTAAGGACTATGGCGGGGACAGGAACCGGGTTCGGGGTATTCAATTATTAGTATATTATTGACACCCAGTGCACTTACTTTGGGTTACAAAGAGACTGGCGCTCATATCGCCACCGCCACCGGGGTCGCTGCTGCTGCGCCGCCTGCTCTCCACGTTAAGTATGTGACGACTGCGAACGGGCACGCCGGTTGCTCGGACCACATGAAGCACCACCTGAAAATGCTGCACTTGATCCACTTGGGGGCGCCAGTCAAGGGAACGTTCACGTGACACTTGTTGCTTCATAAACCACCCCCCGAAGGCACGCCACAACGACGCCCAGCCAGGAGGTTGCTCGCCGTTGAGCAGCAGCAACGGTTGCGGCGTCTGCAGTATCTTGGCACGTTGGACGCTCTGACTGCGTATGCTCTCGTATAGCAGCTGTATGTACTTCCGCCCACGATGCTTATGCAGGTCAATTGGGTTCCAGCAGAAGCCTGGCTCCAGTACGCGACTAACACTGGGTATCAAGAACAAATCCTCCGCAATTTCGTGCTCTAGGGATGGCACCAGGCGGAGTTGTTTGGTGTGAAGGTTGCGTTGCGTATGGCGCGAGTGGAGCAACTGGAATCGTTTGTTGTTAAGCAGGCTGTCGATGCTACAAAATTGCAGTTCCTGTTCGGCAAACATATGCTGGGACCTCTCATTGTTTGGTCTTTTTTGTTTACCACATGGGGGCCGGTACGTAATATTACTTTCAGCTTGAAAGGAAGGGGTCGGCAGCTTTATAGAAAGTAGTTTGCGGCGCAAAACCTCCGGCAGCCTCTGAATGTAGTCCAGTTCTAGTGTGCGATCCTCGCATAGGCGGCAATCAAAGCGTAGGAATAAATCACCCGCAAATATTGACGTCGGTGACGACTGAAAAGTGAATTTTACGTGATCTGTCCGGTTGGCGCTTTCGCTGCTATTACCAAAGTCCAGTGGTGCAATTATCTCCGCAATTCGTTGGCTGTGCGTGGAGAGCGAGGACTTTTCGTAAAGCTGAAAATTAATTAAGGTAGAAAGCTCGTTATCCCGCAATACATATATGCATATACTTGTACAACACCTACCAGAGTAATGTATTCGAAAATAAACGGGGCGCGTTATGATTTTAATGTAGATATTGATTATTGAAACAGGTTGTGGCGAAGGCCCTGATTGATATTGGCTAGATGTCAAATCGAATGAGAATTTATATGTCAGATCTTAATAAATAAGCCATTACGGGGAAAATAGTATTGACTAGTTGGGACTTTTAACGTACTATAATGTAACGGTATCGCAAGGAAAGCCAAGGAAAGCAAGGAAAAGTGCTTTGAAAATACTTTAATCAAAGTATTCTTCTTGGGTATATTATATACATATGTACAAGGGCGTAGGCCGCTTTTACCAAAGGGGGGATGTATGGGGATGCAACGGTCCCCCCTGCCTACGCCCTTGCATATGTACATCGCTATATAAATGTATTGGCTTCAAGAAAAAAGTCGAGATATTTCGATATTTTTATAAAATGTTTGTTTACAAAAACGCTGGTTTGGTAGAAACTTTCAAAAAAGTCATAGATGAATGTGATATTTTATATTATATAATTAAAAGGTATTATGGTCCCTAGACACAAAGGCGTGGAAACTGCTTTTTTAAACCTGCAAGTGGTTGTTATCACAAATACTTAGTAAATTCAAAGACGCGGAAGTAAGTAGAGAACTTAAAAATGTTATCCTCGACTACTAAGATCCTGCAGGATCCTTACTAGAATCTAAAATCGATGTTCAAACCCATCTTAATAGGTGTAGACAATCAAAAGTTCAGTGTGCGTGCTATCAAACAAGTAAAAACGAAGGACAAGCCAGCAAGGTTGATGTTTAGACTGCCTGTACTTACCCAGACATGTAGCTGCGCCGGCAGAGCCCGCTCCAGCAGCACACCAATACCTTCATTCATGTACAAATGGAGATCCGGCTCTAGCCGATAACTGCGTGTCTGTGCCACAAACTGATTGTCAAAATAGAGTTTCATAAAGAAGCTGCGTCCCTTGTGCAGCGCTTCGGAGCCAGGCGTGTTCGCAGCGTAAATTGCAGAGTCATCACTATGCACCTGAACGACATTCACTTGAGGCTCCTCCGGATCCTTAAAGGCGCGCTCGTATTCCGCCCGCAGTTTTATCATGATTTTGTTGAATTGTGGCTTTCGAGGTGGCTTCAAGGATGTCTTTTCCTCCTCACTCCACAGGCGCCGCTTGCAATAGTACTCTTGCAGATGTTCGCGATACACCTCGGCCAGGTCTGCCTCAAACTGCTGCTTCCAAGCAGCGCAAGCCTCGTCAAGATCTAATGGTTGCAGCACACTCAAAGACAGTTGGAAGCGCGTGCACTGGAACTGTTGTTTCTTGCGCAATTCCTTCAGCCTGGCCCAATCGGTCAATAATTGTTGAAGCATTGAGCGCCTAAGAGTAGACTCCGCGTAGTACCGTTTGCGAAGCTGCTGAGTGAGTCGAAGTTGCCGTGTAATGTGGGCCTCAATCTGATCGTCCCCTGGATCAGGTCTAAGCAGCTGGGCCACCACGTTACGAGCTATTTGCAGTTCCTGTTGAACCTTCTCACAAACGTGGTTTTTCAGGTGCTGCGTGTATAAGTCATAAAGATCCTCCAGTTGTTGAGCCAAACGGTGTTCGTCAAGCATCTGCGGATGTGTTGTAAAACGTAACTGCTTAAAGAACAACTTTAGACAGCGGCGCGTGGGAAGACTTGTAACTTGTCCTGCCGGCGAAGGATCAATGAAAACGCTTAGAAACTCCCGGTCACATTCGCTGCGATAGATCGCATCATCCAATACAAAGGTGGGCAGCTCCGTGAGCAGTGCCATCAGGCTAGCACTAAGCTTGCTGGCATCTCTTTTGGCTTCCTCCTGAAAGCGGTTTAGGATACGAATTTGCTGTCGCTTTAGCTGCATGTCTAGCAGTGGCAGCTGAAAATTGGGCGTGTCACTGGGGCTATAAAGCATGCTGTCATCATAATAGTGCCGCTGGCAGAACAATTTTGGCCATACCAGTGGTTCACCCAGCTCGATTTGTATAAAAGTGGCCGCAAGAGGTGTTCCATTTTTTGTGATAACTGCCGTTGAATCATCTTCACTTTCAGAACCGGGTGCGAGTGACGCCTCCAACGAATGCTCAAGAGGAGCTGCTGCATGCTCAGTGGCATGGAAAAAAAACAGGTTACGTTTTTCAAGCTCCTCTGCTGTTCCGAAGATTTCTGCTCTTCCCTGTGTTTGCAGCAGAGTGTGGACCTCCTGGTCTGTTTTTCGAAAAGAGCGCGTTGTGTGTGTTTTGCGATTTTTCTTTCTTTGCGTTTTGTTTTGACTCGCAGAACATTTTTGGCGTTGCATTGTGCTCACATTAATTTTTTTTCTTGTCACAGATTCTTGACAATGGAGAAACATCCGTTTGTTTTGACTTTGCAAGGTTGCTATGGCAACGGCCAGTGTGTTTAAACACCTTGCCCAATCTTAATCACATTGAAAGAGTACTATTTGGAGAGAAGCGTTCGAAAACTGTTGGCTCCAGCATGTCAAATTTGGGGTGGCTCACCCTGAAAAAGTTCGGATTAAAATATTTATAGCGTGTAATCAGAGGAGTCATGTGTGCATATGTTTTTCAGCACTAGATACTCATTATTATTAATTTTTTACACACACACATGGTATGTCTACCATTGCGTATTCACATAAGGCATGTGGGACTAAGATATGGTGTCCGTAGGTCTTATAGTCTCCGAGATATAGGCGATTATACGAATGGAAAATCGTGAAAAGCGAAGTGGGGGGGAAAATCAAAAAAATAAAACAAACTTGCACAGCGTACACACATAAGGCATCTTTGTGCAAAATTTGGTGTCTCTAGCTCTTAAAGTCTCTGAGATCCAGGTGTTCATATGGACAGACAGACAGGGCTAGATCGACTCTTCTCGTCATGCTGATCAATAATATATATACTTTGTGGGGTCTGCCACGCATCCTTTTGTGTGTTACATACATGCGCACAAAACTAGTATAGCCTTTCACCCTTTGGGTACAGGCTTTAAAAATTAAGTTAACACAAAAGTTTGATGAACAAAAAATATGAGTCCACGTGCAAAACAAATTATGTCCTATTCAAGTGGCGCAAAAATTTTGTGTACATTTTATTTAGCAACTATATACAATAACGCTTGTCTGAGCTCGTCAGAATGTATTTATAGCCATTAAAACCAGTCTCAACGTAACTTAACAGGAGGACATCTAAGCTCTTTCAAATTACGGAAGCTATGAAAATTAAGTAACAGTGGGGTAGTAGGTGTATCATGAAATAACACAAATATGACTTAAGGGAATATGAATACCAGGTATGGAGATCCCTGGTTTTATCATTTCCGTGATCCTTGCGTTCCTACAGATGGACGGATATCTCTATATGGACTCTTATCACGCTGTTATGAATATTCGAGGTAGAAAAAGACATCGAAATTTTGCTTATGTTACCTAATCAAAAATGTATACATATATGCGTCTTTAAATAGTTATTATGTATAATATGTTTTATTATTTAAATATTAATTTTTAAAAATTGCATTACCATTTTATTACATATGTATGTATGTATATTTGACAATTTGTGGAGACGGCAAGTTTAGTCACGCTCGCACGACTTTAGCCATGTCCGTCCGTATGAACGCAAGGATCTCAGAAACTATTAGCTAACTAAACCACACTTGATGTCCAGATTCTCCTATATTCGAGAAACTACGAGTTAGAGGTTTTTTTTATTAATTCCTGGAATTTCTAACTTAAATTTGTTACTGTAATACTGTCATTATGACCATTAATTAAATTATGCTGTTGAAACTATACATAAAAATATGACTCCACTTATGTATGTACTGAATATTTTTTATTTGATTTAATTTATTTATAGAATCAATTATTTTTTTAAAATTAATTCCTAAACTTTTTTCTTTTATTTTGTGGGAGTGGTTGCAGGGTATTTAAGACTTAAGCCCGCTTGTCTCTGAAATTTCTTACTTCTTAAAATTTATTTTTGCAAATCTTCAAGGTCCTTGAGTAAGCAGCATTAGATAAACAACATGCTTTAATATTTCTGAGTCGCTAGGGGTTAAATATAATTTCATAAAAACGTATGCGAAGTTCGTTTCAGTCCACAGAAAAATGAATGTGCGGGTACTCCGTTTTAGCTTTGACCGCAATAGGAGCAATTTACAGCCCATGCCGATGGAACTCTATAAAATAGGTCGTTTAGCAAACAAATGAGTATCAGTCGGCAACATGGGAGGCAAGAATAAACTGCAGTACTACTTGAACTGGTTTTTGATATTGTGTGCCTTAATGCTGCCTGTTCGCGGCCACCGCACCTTTGACCGATGCAGCCTGGCTCGTAAGATGGACCAGCTGTATGTACCACGGGATCAATTAGAACGCTGGACGTGTATTGCTCAGCACGAGAGCAGTTACCAGACTTGGGTGGTGGGCCCGCCGAACACAGATGGCTCGCAAGACTACGGTATTTTCCAAATTAACGACCGTTTTTGGTGCCAGCCGGCAAATGGCAAGTTTTCGCACAATGGATGCCACATAAGCTGCAACAATTTACTAACCGACGATATTAACGCATCCGTCCGTTGTGCCCGATAAGTACTGCTGGAGCAAGGCTGGTTCGCTTGGTCTGTGTTCAGACCTCATTGCAGTGGTCACTTACCCAGCATTGATGATTGTTTCAAAAGTGAGTGGCAGGAGTATACTCTTTAAATCATGGCGACTATGGCCAAGCTGCTGGATGAAGTAAACGATGAATAATTCCTTGGCGTTGCTGTTGGGAACAACCAATAGGTTTGGGTCAAAAAAATAACATCTAAGCTATAATTTTAATTGCGAAGAAAGATTGACCTTATGGCACATTAATAAAAACGGTATTATAGAAATTTGTTGATTAGGACGAGACCACATAAAAGAAACGTGTCAGCAATTATGGGGGATGGGGGGTGGTATCCAAAAAAGCTTTTCGGGGAAGAAAAATACAAAAGGTATTTGTTTTTGTTTTCTTTTTTCTGTTGACATACAAATACATTGCATATTTCATTTTAATATTAGCTAATTCTTTAATAGACATGTTTAAGTATGCTGAAATTTTTGACGAGACTTTTAAACGAAGAAATTGTTTGCCGATTAAGATTGTGTTGTGTAGTGTAACTTTACTTTAGTGCTTAAGGACTGATTATAATGTAGGTATGCAATGATGTAATATGTTTGACGTAGTCTGCAAAAACGCGCTACTGGATTGAAACAGACCCCAGTCAAATTTAACTAGAGTGTAGTCGCGTTTTTTTTAATGTAGGACACTAGTTAATAGGTCAATATTTGCAGTTGGGCGCAAACAGTTAGCAAACAGAATGGTCTGGGGGTCGTTTACTCCAGGACGGTTATTTCTTCCTTGACCAAAAATTCAACAATTTCTTCATCGACCTCATCTGTTTCCAAATCATCCGTATCCACATCTGCAAATAGGTTAAAATATTATGGATGAGTAACTTGTATTACTTTGCATACCCTTTGGGTAAAGAGTGAAAGGGTATACTAGTTTATTTTGACTTTACTTACGCCCTCTGAGCATGACGCGTCTACTCTTTTGATCCTTCCATTCGGCAATTCGCTTGTTGCGGTACTCCATGAACGTCTCTCGCAGCTGCGCCCGTTTCTCGAGCAGCTCTTTTGATGCACGGGTCAACCGCAAGCGATCCTTTTGCTCAAAGACTGGATAGTACTTCTTCAAGTTCTTCTTGATCTCCTTCTGCTTGTCCTCGGAAAGTAAGGTAGGTGGTCGTGGGCGCCATAAGAACTGAACGAAATTCTTCAGGATGGTGCGTTTAATAATACGACCCTGGAAAGTGTACATATTGAAACCCGTATCTTCCTTAACTTTCCACGATGAAACACCGGTCACAACATAGCGGCCTGTCGGATCCCATTCAACTTCTCCGGCACGGAAATGATCCGGCGAGGCGCTGATAATATAGTCATTTGTTGTGTCTACGAACTCAAATGTGCCCATGGTCAGATTGGCCATGACGATGAACTGACCTCGCGGCGACCAGAACAAATGCGTACAGGACTTCTTCTCCAGCTTCTTCACCAAACTCGGCTTAACACCTTTATTGACTTCATAGAAACTCACATTCGATGAGTTGGGCTCACCATGTATAATGGAAAACTTATTGCCGATTGGCTCCCAAGCGAAGGCCAAGATAAGTTCGCGAATTTCCACGGAATCTACGGGTATCTCCTTTTCACGCATGTGAAATATTTCGAAGTTGTAGAACATGCCCAAAAACTTGACATCAAGCTCTTTTTTATCTTTTTTCAATTTTGAGTACCGATCGACTTTCACGCAGAGATAATCGCCAGACTTTTGCCAGTGTAGCTTACAGTCGGCGACATGAAAGAGGTTCTTATTGCGTGTCTCACGTTTTTTTGGGATCTCCATGAGCGTCACTCGGGCGGGTATCTGATTCTGCTCCTCTACCCAATAAGCAATCACATTATCAGTTGGCGACCAGGAAAATCCACGTATACCGGGTATCTTTATGGATTTCATATCTAGGAGGTAAAACGATGGCGTCTCATAGATGTGTATGGAGCTTTCACCCATGCGTGCCACAAACTTGTCATCGTGCGACCAACGGAACATAGAAAGCATGGTCATGCTGTCCGCTACAAAGGAACGCTTTTCCGCACCTGTGCGTATGTCCCAAATAATAATCTTTTGACCGGTTGGCGTTGGGCCGTAGGTGACCAGGTAATTTTCGCAAGGCGAAAACTCAACAAACTGAGTACCTGGGTGTGGAAATTTTTGTATCTTCTGAAAGTTGCTGCCACCCCATATGGCCACGCCAGGCTTGTGGAAAGTAACCACATATGTGCCTAGGGGGGACCATTTAACAAAAGTGTCTGTGAAGCGTTCCCGCGTCTCCAGCTCGGTGGGTTCAGGCAGAGTATTTTGCCAAAATCCAACTTGTACGCAGCTCTGCGCTGTCTCGGCAGCAACACAGTACTGGTCATACGCATCGGGATCGTTTATAAAATTGTACAAATCGTTTTGCACTTTAAAAGGCTGGACCGTCGGTGGGTCCCACTTTTCCGGTATATTTTCATACCTACAAGGAAAATTTGGTTACTTTCTTTACGGTTCTTCTGTGCTGGTGCTTACTTTTGGAAATCAGTAAACAAGTTCACGGCAAAGGTGTGGTTCTTGTCCAGGCGATGATTGTTCAATTTGTTAACAGCTTCTTCTGCCTGGTTGGCGTGCTTGTACTCCATGAATGCATAGCCCTTCGTTTTTCCTTCTTCATCAACCGGGTAAACCACATTCACAATGTCACCGCAATGCGAGAACAGCTTGTTAATCACCGACTTAAGTTTGTCCAAGCGGCTAGGCTCCACTTTTGGTATGTTGTCGACAACAACAACGCTTTCAACACCATCGGCCTCCGACGGGCGCTGGGCTATCATATCGCCCAATAAATCTGCAATTAATTCAATACATCAGTTTGAGGTTATGTTTTCATTTTGCAAGCTACTACTGCCGTAGCGTGTGCTACGCTGGCAAGCAGAGCCATCGTCACTCTCACCTTCATCGCTAATATTATCTACAAAATTAGGCGGATCTTCGAAATTTGGTTCCTCATTATAGTCGCTATCGTTGGCATCGGTGCCTGAATGCTCCTCACTTTTCTTCTTAGCCATTTTCAGCGATTTATTTGCAAAATACACACGGCAGCAAATTTTCCCGCAGTCATCAACACACAGGCAGAAAACCGAAAAGAGAGTTGCCAGTTTGTTGGTCGGCTGCTTGTCATCTGCTTCTTCTTCCTTTTCCAGCTCTCCAAAATTTAATATTCTGTGTTAAATTATTTCAGCACCTGTGTTCAATTTTAACTTTATAACTTTTTTGTATATATTTTCAATTTATAAGTGCAATAAATAAAACGCATTTGGGTGCACAGTATTATTTGTCATTAAAACCAAAAACTGTTCAGTAAAGTTGGTGTTTTAAATAGAGAATCGTAAATGAATTACATCAATTCAATATTATACTACATAATATTTAAGCGGAATGTAGCATATTTATGCGAAATTCATTAAAATCTGTTTTTAAATTACGATTTTTAATCTCAATTCGGGTGCCGAATTAAACTTTATTATTAGTAGGGGCGCTTGCTTTGCACATATTTGTGTAAATTATACTTAATAAATAAAGTATTTGGGAGAGAGTTTAACAAAAATTCATTTAGCTTATATATACATATCTTATGTAGATGTATGTATTTGTTGTAAATATTAATCAGTTGCAGGAATACCACTAGTTCCCGGATTTTTTGTATATCAGCGCATTTTAAGATGCCATTGTAATTAAACTAGTTCCGATGCTGCCACATTTGTTAAGTGCTGCTATAATTTTTCACTTTTTGCGAGTCCGTGGTTGCCACCTGGCAACTGGCGATTTTTCCGCGACAACGACATCTGCACAAAAAGACAAAACAAAAGAAATGGTGTAATATATCACCAAAAAAATTAAAACTAATGCTACAAACAAGCATAGAGTGTGTAGAACAGATCTATCTGTAAAGTGTAAAAAACTCCGCCGTGTGTGCAATAGAGAAAAATTCCGATACACCATGTCTCTTAGACTCTCAATCACGCACCTGCCGCATCCATTACGGTCGTTTTGTCTGCGCTGAAAAAAATTCAAATACAAAATCCAATGCAATAAACCTAATACTCCAAACCATAAAAAGGCAGTTGTAAATAAGCAAGAAAACGAAAAGACGACGCGAAAATATGAAGTTTTGCATATACATACATATATATGAATGTGTGTATGTAAATTTGAAATATGTAAATGCTGTAGTGGCACCAGCAGTTAATAGGTAGACAGGCGCATAGGCAAAATCTTTATATGTATATACAAATTCATTGTGGAAAATAAAAGGAGAAAAATAGCAGAGAAATCACCCAAAAAACGTTCTGCGTTTATGTGTGCGTGTTTGTGATACCTTTTTTGTTCATATGTATGTATATATATGCGCAACAAAATGCGTTGGTTGAGCTCTCTCATCGATACAACGCGCAGGCGAAAATGAGAGATTCGGGCTCTTAGAGAAGTGGTAGAGTGCTGTCGTGCTAGCCTTGTGGAATGTGTGAATGAATTTTCATTTACAGTACCAAGTGTTTGCCACTACTTAGTTAATTTAAATAAAATGCCATCAGCGACTTGCCATGGTCACATTATGGACGCACGCCCAAAAACAAAAATTATTTTACATAATTAAGTTTCCGTGATTTCCTGCAAATAGTACTCTCTTTTTCTCATTCAATACAGGCTCAGACTCAGCTTTATGCTTGCTGTGCTTGCTTGCTCTCTTTTGGACCTGAGTCTGTTACATCTTTTGTTGCTTCGAAAAATTCGTATGTGCGTCTGTGACGCTGCTCCATGAAGTTTTCCACAGTGTTTGTCTACACGCCCACATAGTGTGTGCACCAGCAAATGTGTGTGTGTTTGTGTCTGCGTTGAAAAAGCAAAAGTGCCTGTCGTCTATTTGCTGCTGATGCTGTTGTTAAACTTTAGTTCGCAGCTAATGGAAAATTGTTTATTTATGTTATATCTAGTGAATAAAAAACCACGCATCTCGATACGTATAAAACATAGTTTTAAAAAGTGAAAAAGTCTTTTTCGTCAACATTCTGTTGTGCCAAAAAAATATATATATATGTATGTATATATTTATATATATTTACATAAAATTGTCGTCGTGCAACTACAAATAAAATAAAAATTCAAATAATTCAGCAGCAGCCTCTGTACCCAAAAAAAAAAAAAACACGACCACCAACGTGCATCAACAGTACCACCCGCAGCACCAGCACCCAAACTACATCTAGAATAGCACCTGTTCCAGCCTCCAATCTACGTCGTCTTTGTTCTTGTCAGTCATTCCGAAAGTTTGTGCAGCAGCAGCTCTGAATGTCTTTATGCTTTAATCATGGTGTATTTTGCCACCAACAACAACACCGACACTATACGCTGCTATATTAGAATCTTTCTGATTACGAATCATGACAGAAGGACATGAAAGGTAAGTTTATCATAATAAAGTTCAAGCGCGCAAGCGCTTTCAATTCAAGCCCAAACGCAGCGTCAAATATGTTCAAGGAATTTGTGTAAATACATTATTTAGCATTTCGAGCACACACAGTTTCATTTTAGCAAGCAAAAATGCGTTTTAATAAAAGCATCAACGAACTTGTTACTCTGCTCAATGAATTGATGAAGTGACTCTATGTTTGCCTATGTACCCTTGGCCAAGCGAATTCACCGCCTCCCCAATAAAACTCGCTTCTATAGTCTCCGTGTTGTCTGTCGCCGCTTTTAATGAATGAAATGCTAGACGACTTGCCTGCCCTGGTGCCATTCTAATTGTTTAAAATGCTATTCTAGCACGCCCGTTCCTTACACAAGCAGGGCTGGCGAGGCAGCTTAGCTATTGATATTGAAAATGATGTCACTCGATTCTTGGCTACGCTAGCGTGTGAGTGTGTGCCAGCTAAAGCACTTTACTCATACCATTTCCATGTTGTCTTTGCCGTCTTATAAGAGCAGCAAGTTTTTTTTTAGTTTTTCTCATGTCTAGCTTTCATTCTTCTTATGAATGTATGTATGTTTTTAAATACGTATTACACATATACTATATGTAATGAATTAAAACCAAACACTATACCCACGCAGTCCATGCCCTGCTCAAGTTTACAATGGTGTGTGTATTTCAAACGGAAATAACATTCGATTTTATTTTTGTATCAAATGGCCATGCCTACATAGTACTTATGAATGTATGTACATATGTGTGTATGTATGTACATTGCATTTCTGATGGTCATGTGAGACAGTAATGTAACAGCGTAGAACTGCATGGCTTTTGTCCACGCGATAACTCTTTTAACAACATCCACTACATCTAATAAAATATGTATATGTATTAACAACTATTTTATTAACGGTCTATTGCCGCTATGTTGTTTGTTTGAGTCTTGGGTTTTACCCTTCAGTACGGGTAACTAATTCACACATAGCTAATAAATTCCTAACTACAAATTAACCTCGACCAGTTTCGCATAAATCCCCAATTTTTTACATTTGAATTAGTACGTTAGCTAAAAATCTTTCAATATCACCTATTTATCTAACTCATAATTTCGTTTTATAACTCATTGTATATTTAAAATCATATAAGTTGCTCGTTGTCCAGTCAGGCGAATACGGGGAGTTGTTGGTGGTGAAAATGCTTTTTCATCAAAAATCGCTCGCAAGTGAAAATCGATGGCGCACTATAAACAATGCATCAAATCGGGAAGATAAAATGCTTTATTAACAGGTTGGCCCGCTAGAACGACAATGCCCTTGAAATCGTACAAGAATATCGTCATTGTCTTCACTTTTGACTTCTTGATATTTTGCCTCGTCTGACGCCACGTTTTATCGCAAAAAAACTGGTTGTCCTCTTTGGCTTTCTTTGTGATGGCCTTCCAATGTTGAATTCAAAGCAATTTTTGGTCGTCAGTCATCTTGGGCTTAACAAACCTTTTACACACTTTTCAGAAACCCAAATGTCGAAATCCGATAAATTGGTATTCCATTCATTCATTTAAGTCCCGACGACCACTTTTAAGCCACGAATGCCACTCGTGAACTCTGCCCCGAGATAAACAATCAACATCAGAAACTTGATTCATCAGTTGAATCGTTTCGGTAAAAGATATGCTAGGTTTAAAATAAAACTTAACATTCGCTCTGTAGTGGAGAAAATGTTATGATGTCGGTAAGGATTGCTTTTTGCCAACCAACCATTCAAAAGTCATTTGTCCTTTAAAATCTACCTCAAATTCTGTGGAAACAAACATAAACTATTCGTACATATATACGTACATAGCATAAACAAGAAAGAAATGCTAAAGTCGAGCAGGATCAACTCTTAAATACCCTGTACCACCCCACAAAAAAAGAAATTAAATTAATTAATTAATTTAATTTAATTAATTAACTAAATTAAATATAAAATATTCCATACATGCATACATACATTTACATCAGAATCGTGTCTCTGCGTGTTTATGTACTTGTACATATGTATGTATGTGTGCATTGGGCCTGGTTATATGGGTATAACTTTCTTTCTGATCAACCTATTATAATGAAACTTGGTATACGGATATATAATCATTAACAAATTTTAGTTCAAAATTCCAGAATTACGGGAGCTATAGAAAATCGTGGGGAGTGGGGGGTGCATCGGGAAAAATGAACAAATTCGTTCTTTCTCGGTCTCAGGAGAATCTGTAAACCAAGTTTGGTTATTCTAGCTCTTATACTTTCTGAGATCCTTGCGTTCATACAGACAGACAGACAGAAGGACTCGACTCGGCTTGTCATGCTGATCAAGAATATATATACTTTGTGGGGTCTGCCACGCCTCCTTCTGTGTGTTCCATGTACACTCGCACAAAACTAATATACCCTTGTACCCTTTGGGTACAGGGTATAAAAATGCATAATTTTAACTGGAACGTAGTTAGTTGTCAACAAAACTCAGCTGACACACTGTTTGGTATTACAAACAAACAGTTTGGCTATGTGAAAATCTTTCCCACTCACTTAGCACCTAGTTTTAACAAATTATCATAACCAAATTTAGTTGAAATTAAAAATAAAGTAGCCACGGAGGCATGCTTTAATTATCATATAACTGCCTGCAGCACCTCCCTGGTAAGGGAGGATATGCAACGGGTAACTAGCGAAATATGCATTTAACTACCGCGTGTACTGAGAAGTATATGTCTGTATGTAGGTTTATTATATACATATATGTATATACATACTATGCATGCAAACTATCATTGTTCATTCATCTTTTACGAAAAGTGTACAAGTGTGTTGGTGCCAGTTGGTGCAAATAATTGGTAGCACAATTTTTGTTGTTAGAAAGCGCTGTGGAAAAATCAAACGAATAAAGCATGAAATGGTTATACAAAATTAATAAAATTACTCATGCATGATAAACAGGCTAGCACTTAACAACGGCTACGGGAAAGACAACGGCAATGACAACAACAGCTTCAACTCCCGTCCAGCATCAGCTTGTCTGCTCTCCCACGCATGCGCTATGTCTACACATACTTGGCTGACTGTCCCTTTGGGAGAGAAGCTTCACATTTTATTGCTGAGTAGCACTTTTAATTTTCGCTTGGGGCAGGCTCTTTTGTTTTTGTATCATGTATTTGTTGCTGTAATTTTTGATGAAGTTGTTGCTGCTTAGACTACACCCTTGTGTTTGTATGTGTGCAAGTGACAACTCCAACCGATTTCAATTAAAGTTGCTATCCCACACATACATATACTCGTACATAGTACACCCACATACACCTATGAGCTTTTGGATGACGCTTTGTACACTCATATATGTTCGTACGTACGCATACGTACATATGTACATACTTACATAGATACATGTAGATGCGATGCTAACTTTTTGTTGATTATTCGAAGATAACAGGTCCCTTTTCAAGCACGCCTGTCCCAGCATTTGTTCATTCATAGTTGCCCTAGGAAAAGCCGCCAAACCTTGGCCAGCAGCCATTGACGTGAGCGCTGCCTTTGCCGCTTCACCTTGAGTATATCTATAGCGTTGGCCTCAATGAAACTGCAACAGTGGTGCATGGTAGTCCTTTGTACGCATAAGTACATACATACATGCTTACAGACATACATACATACGTGTACATACATATGTACATATATTTGTGTGCATGTTCACATGCATGGTGGGGACAGCATAACGACGCTGACGTCCACATTCATTCTATAAAATCGACGAAACTAGGACAAAAGTGTGTATACACAAAAGGACTTACACACTCACACACATGTACCCGTAGTCACGCAAAGGCATTGGCAGGCCGCCAAAAACTCCCCCAAAGCTTTTTTCATTGACCAACTTCACGGTATTAGCTCCAGTTTTGAAAGCTGTGCGCAAGTCGCGCCTTGCATTTATGCTGCTGCTCCTCAATTCATAATGGCGGTCTGCAAGGTATTGAAAAGATGGCCTGGAGTCGCTCACTGTTTATGAAGGTGCAACCGGATGTTGTAATACATAACACATGCATAAAGTACATATGCAAGCAGTCAAGCAGGCTGCCTGCTGCCAACCTTTCAATTCATTATTTCGCTTTTAGTTTACGGCCAACACACATGCTTGTGGGTGTGACTGGGCGTATTTTTAATTAAGAGCCTGCTTCGAAAGCAACTGCCTGGCTGTAAGCCTGTGTCTGGCATAGGTTGATTTCTTGTGTTGTGGTCCTATGGCTTCGTAGCCAAAAATTGAATTAGCCGAATTAGCAACACTTTTAGGTTATCCATTTGAATATGTAGGCGCAGAATAGAGACACTGCCAGCCAGTTAGTGAAGAGCAGATATGGCAGCTGTCCGTTACACCAAGTTGAGTTCGAGGCCCAGCAATAACGGGAGATCTTACAGGTTCATTTGATCGAGCAATATACTTAGTGCTTATTAATATGAACATATCTTATCAGTAGTTTTATTTCATGTTTGAATTCCTTAACCATACAAAAATAGTTTGGCTCATTCTCAACACTACACGGAATATCTAAGGAAATGGTAAAATAGTACCCGTTATCACTGAAATCACTCTAACCAACTCCAACTCTGTGCATCTACAAGTATATATAATTTAAAGGTCTGTCCTACTGTTAAATGATCCTTGTTTTTCGCTTTTCTCCTCTGTTACAGCGATTTCTTAGTTACAGTACGCGCACAGGTAATGACCAGAGACGAGAGCACCGAGGGCTGGCTACCGCTGGCCGGGGGTGGTCTGGCAAATGTTTCGATACGCAAACGTGCTAGATTATCCCCATTGGCAACGGGTCATGACTACATCATCTATGGGCAAAGAATCTCTGATCAAAGTGTAAGCATATTCATAATGATTGTACATTCATTTCAATATTTATAGTATTGTATTTTTTTGCAGGTTATCTTAAGCTGTGTCATTAATCGTGATCTTAAGTATTACAAGGTAATGCCAACATTTCATCATTGGCGCGCCGGAAAACAGCGCAACGGACTCACCTTTCAAACAGCAGCCGATGCCCGCGCCTTTGACAAGGGTGTATTGCGGGCCTACAATGAATTAATTGATGGTATGCATTGCGCCACCGGGCGCCTGATCAGAGATCACTAAGACACTAGCTTTTTTAAGTTATTCAATCGCATGTCGCTTGTTTTTTCACCAAATACCCACGCTTAACCTCTTATCTATCTTTCACGAATAATTAAACATACACACTGCACAGAAACTTACCTTCATTGAAACTCTCGCCCTAATCTCATCCTCCGACGCTAGAGTTTTCAACATCTAAGCGCTATTTACCCGCTCTAAGCCCTTTAGCAGAAATTAGCCTCAAACAATTCTTCGCTTAGCATTTGCATTCATTTACTAATACAATACTTTTTCGTACGTTTTATGCCACTTTATTACAAAAAATATTGGAAATATGCAATTAAAAAAAAAAACAACATAAAAATATACTAATTTTGACTAATATGATTTATACGAATTGGTAAGTGCATTTTGAGGTTTATTTTTATATAATTAGTTTGTTCATGTGTGCGGTATTGTTTTTAAAAGTATTCAAGTTAAAAGTTAACTGTAAACAAATTATATTATTAGTCAGGACAAATCTGACTTTCAATATCTCAACATACACGTACATTCATTTTTTTATCATAATTCGCTAGAGTTTTATGAAACTTTCTCCTACAACGAACTTTCCCTAACAAGTACAAAATTTGTTGCTGCTTCTTCTTTAGTAGTCAAAAACGTATTTCTTCCAGTATAAACATAAAAATTTGCTCTAAAAAATCCCGTCATGTTAAACATTTTTTAACACAAATAAATGTGTATGCACGTATTTTTTGATTTTTTTATAATTACTATAAAATTTTTTACTTCGCCCAACAAATGATTCAACTTTATCAGCTCTGAAGACAGCATTCCAGATAAATCTATAAAGATTTATGATATTGTGCTCTGATCTGATCTCCTTATTATCTGCGTGTAAAAAAAGCCTTGGTGTTTCAAACTTGCTTTACGAGCTTACACACCAAAAACTATAATTATTTTGTCAAATCTGACCAAAATACGCGCTTTACGTTTGGGAGAATTTTTCTGTAATAAATAATACAATTTACTAGTCATAAATCAAGTTACCCATCAATTTTTCACTTTCACCACTAGAATAAGGTACACTTAAAGATTGTTTGAAACCGCGTGTTAACACATTGACCCTGTTGGACAAGTGTGATCGTTACTCATTCTATTTGCATTTTCTGCCTACTAATATCACGATTAGCTTAAAACTGCATTCTTCTTGCTATTAATACTGATCTTCTTTGCTCTTATGGCTGCTTAGAGTTCGTCGCTATAGTTCAAATTTAATTTGCGGCTGACTTGTTGCATGCAATATTTTCTTCTAATTACTCACTAAAGGATATCTCTGTAAATTCCTCTAGGACTGGCCAAATCAAACCCGACTATAATATGCCCACCATTGACCAAATATGATTCTGTTGGTGAAGATGATGTATTCATGGTAAGTATTCATTTTTTTGTATAAAATAATTATCAACTAATTACGGGGGTTTTGTTCGTCTAGACCCTGGACTTACCTGTGGAAAGTGAAAGTTTACAAAAAGTACACTCAAGCCCGGAGGGAAGTGAGAAAAGTCACAGTACGTATCCCTAAAAGTATAAACTATTCCATAAACTCTAATGCACCCCTTTCCGCAACAGAAAGCGTTAGTGAACGCTACAGCAACAATTCCGATTCGGAGAAGCTACCGGCACCGACTATACACTACATATCGACAGACAAAACAGTCACGCCAGGCAACAATAACTCCTCCTCCAGTGTAGCTGTGGCCGACGCAACGGGCCAGCCCACGCCGATTCCGCCTAGCGAGAACTATTCATATGTGACACTGACAGCGGTCCATCATGACTACAACTATTCAGTGGTCGATCAGCCGGTGGGAGCTCAAGTGCTCAATGCACGTCGCGAATCCATAAGCGCAGTGAAGAAGCGGAACGCTTTAGAAGCGGCCCAAGCAATGGCTGCCGCTCAAACGGCAACTGGCACGGCCAGCAAGCCGTTGCACAAACCCAACGTTTCCGACATCTTGAAGAAGGAGACACGTCTGCGTTGTCGTTACTGTCACGAGCTGTATAGCGAAGACTTCAATCGGCGGGGGGCGTGTGAGTATGCACCGGATCCATTTCGCAGTGGGTACGAGTGCATATCTGGAATGGGCTGTGCTCGCTGTATGATCTACCACTGCATGAGCGATGCCGAGGGCGAGACAGCGCAGCATCCATGCGAATGCAACGTGAGTGAGTCGGGCTGCACCAAACGCTGGCTTGGACTGACGCTACTTTCGTTGGTTGTGCCATGCTTGTGGTGCTACCCGCCGCTACGTGCGTGCCACTGGATGGGTATTCATTGTGGCGTATGTGGCGGCCAGCATAAACCGCATGTCTGACATTTGGAGGCTAGATTGCAAGGACAATTCGTTGACGACCCCAGGCACAACAAGCACACAAGCAAGCATGAGCATGAAGAGAGCGAGGAATATAACAAGCGACAACTCTTGGCCAGGCAGCTGCAGAAGCTCAAGCAGCGCCAACAACATCAGCCCCAGCAGCAGCCACAGCGACACTTTTACAACTGGGAGCTGTCCCACAGCTTGGGCGCGCCACAGCAGCAACCGCTGTATTTAATGCAGCCAAGAAGTAGTAAGGCGGCGCCTAACGACTATGGCCGCTTGTTGTTCTAAAAGTTTATCATTTGCTTTGTGTTTTATGTTCTGTTTTCTATAGTTTTATCTTTTATGTGTAGCATTTGATTAGTTTGCCATAATTTATTGTACATACAAATTTATGCTACAGGGCTTATGCATCTATTATTTTAACTGTAACATTATACTTAGACACAGAAACTTAATTATATTTTTGTAAAATCGCTTTCTTTTTTTGGAAATATTTTTTAATTGCCTAAGTTTTTAACGTTTCTTAACGGAAATTTCTTAATTGGAAATTGGAGAACAGTATTAAAGCCAATGTGTAACGTTTCATGAAGAGCGTTACACTTCAAGATTGTCTGTGCGCAATTCCAGTTTTTTTTATTTAAATCGGAATCAACAAGTAAAATGTATCGCGCGCAAAATATGCAAAGAACAAAACTACTTAAAGCGCAAATGAAAAGCACACAATATAAAAAATGTTAATGGACGTAATTGTAAATGCCTGTATATAAGAATTACAAATTGTTTTCGTCATGACAAAAGCTGCAGCGCCAATTAGTGCAACCTGTGTTAAGCGTAAGCTAACATGTTCACTTAAATTAGACAATTTGTTTTCAAACATTAAAATATATTAATTTATTTGAAAAAGAATTTTTTTGACTCTTCTTAGGGCTCATGAAGATTCAAAATATTTCTTTTGCCAATTCCACATATATTTGATTTCATTTCTTAGTTTATATAAACTACATAGACCGAAAAAAAAAATAAAGCCACGATAACCTAACCGTCATAATTGCGCGTGGTACAAGCTTTTAAACCTTTACCTATATCTCTATATACATATAAACAATTTGTAATTTGTTAGTAAATGCAAATCATGTTGTAGGCTTAAGCACTACAACGTCTTTGCATTTCCTCAAGGCTATAGAAATAAACATCAAAATCAATTTAAGTAACACTCCCATATATGCAGCTATATAGATATATATATATGTATATATATACAAATATATATATGTATATATAAAAATGTAAAACAAATCTATATATACTTATGTGAATGAAAGCTAAGTAATTTTTGTGAACTTAAAGATGAATAATAAAAACAAGCATTAATTTATTTCTAAATATATAATTATTGTTGTACTAAGAGAAAAAATTGCTAAAATGTATAATATTTATTCAAAAATAAGCAAAGGTTGTGCAAAAACACATTAAAAGCAACAAAGATTGTATTAAACCCTTTTAAATGAAAGAGCATTGCAGCAAAAGGCATGGGATATGTAATTGTTAGTCAAATAATAATGCAGTCTCAAAGAAAAACAAAGTAAATAAATGTTGTTTATATGATGAAACCAACCACAACACAAAATTGAACAAAGAATAACACTCAATAACAAGAAGTACAAAATGTTAAATATGTTTAATTTACTTTTTATTTAGCTTAAAACTAATTTTATCATAATGATCCACAAGTATGCCAACATATAATATACGAGAAAAATATAAATTGTCTGTTTCACATTTAACTGTGGATAGAAATTAAAATTTGCAGAAAACAGCCCAGTCATTTAGAATCTTTAAACCTGAAATTAGATGAACCAACAACAGGTGTTATGCTATTTTATTTTTAAACAACAAGATCAAATATAGTGCGGCACGAAAGTACGCTAATGTTGAATAGTTTATTGCAGTAAGCATGATCTTCTTTTCAATAAAATTTTTATTTGAATTATATAAAAAAAATTCACTTTAATTGCCGCATATACTCATATAAAAGCTGGCATTACCGAAATGGAAATAAATAATATATTTATTCATATAAATGTATTTGAAAATGTGAAAAGGAAAATACCAACAAAATAAAATTACCAACAAATAAAACAAATAATTTAATAAACAACTGCGACGTTTTGCCATCCACGCTCCAAACGAAAATTTGAATTTTGAATAGTAGGTCACATCAAAATATTCAAATACATATATTCATTTACAGGCAAAGTAACATTAAAACACGATCAGGTATGGATGAAGTGATGAGACAAAATGCTGCGCACCACCAAGAAGCGGATAATCCCGTTAAACGTGAGCTAACGTGCAGTGTACACTTTACCAAGTGAGTTTTTTTCAAAATACTTACCTTCACATATATACTATCTAAACTCTGTACCTCGCCTGCAGCCCCAAATTTAAGCCAGAATCGTCTCTTTCATCCGATGATGAACTCGGCTCGGTAACACGTCTGGTATCGAAGCCCGAGGATTTGGAGTTGGAGCACGTCTTTAAACGTACTGCTAAGCCGGGCGCTTTGGTGTACGCAACAAATCGTTCGCTTCTCTCCATTGGCTATGACTTCGAGGAAGCGCGTGACTGGTTGACCGCCGAGCAACCGCAGAAGGAGCAGTTGACAAAGGTGCTGCGCTATATGATGGAAACACACTCGAAGGCGACGGTCCAAATAGATATCAACAAAATGTACTTCAACTGCCACTTGGCCGTCTTGCAAGTATATTCAAAGTTTTTTATGGAATTAGAACAAACCCCAGTGGTGATCACGCTGCCTGAGGACAAAGTGTCGCAGAAGGCTTTCATGCTCATTTACAAGTGGATGCTTAGCGATGAGCCATACCTAGAGCGCAAGGACATCTTGAATGTGTTTGTAGCAGCGTCATATTTGCGAGTGGATGACCTCCTTTCCCATTGCTGGATGTACTTCGACGATGAGAGTTGTTTTAACGAGGAAACAGCATGCATTTTATATCTGGATACTCAGTGCAATCCGGCACTGGACGTTGTCCGCAATGTTATGTTAACGCGCATACATAAATTTCTTCTGACATTTGTAGCAACGCGCGATTTTCTTAATCTCCCTGTTAAACATCTCCTGTATTTGTTAAGTTCGAATACCATATGTGTTAATACTGAAGTTGAGGTGAGTAACAAATCCCAAGCTGACTATAACTAATCTCTTCAGTCTTCCAGATTCTTTTCATAGCCGTTCGTTGGCTGAGCCACGACTGGGCTTTGAGACGAGTGCACCTGCTTAAGTTGATTACCTGCGTGCGTTTCAGTTTAATGCCGCTGTGGTATCTTTTATGCGTACGCCAGCAAGAGCCGTATAAGCTGTTAAACGAGATCGTCAATTTTTCCGATGTTGATGAAATGATCAACGAGGCTATTGCATCTATAACAAGCACTATTTACGATAGTCAATTGGAAGGCAAACGTGTTGATCATGCTAGTCTTTTGAAAGGAAGCAACAAACGTATGTGGATTCGCGATCAGGCATGTCCTTACTATCACCGCGTTGGATGTCCAAATACCCGTGATATACGATACGCGCATTTTGTGACCTATTTAAAAGCCTTACAGCAACAGCCAAACGATTCATTTGCGAATGTTCAGTTTCTTGATCTAGACGACGATAGCGAATGCTGTAATGGCGTCAGATTAATTTAAAAGGTTACATTGTTATATTTGTGTCTCCTAATTCATACACTCTGGCGCACCAGCCAAAAATTTGGATGCAAGGAGGGCTTCACGGTTTTTTTCAAAAATGAATGGACACGAAATGCATCGCTTTTTCCTCAGTAGCAGGACGTTTTGAAGTATGTATTATTGTTTCAGTCGTTTACATCTACATACATATATCACAACTAGTCTGCATTTTGTTAGCATTGTTTTTTGTCCGCCTATAGGAGAGACAAATTATTTGCATCTCAAACAAATTTGATAGGAATCCAGACTTTATGTATTGTATTGTATGCGACTTGTTAAGGCTGCTCTTGTTGAATAATAAAAACTAAATTTTTATCGTGACTTATCATTCGCTTTGCTGTGGCATATCGTGCCTTCAACATGGATCCTATTAATTACAGCCCACACCTAAATCCTAGAAGGGTGTACTGGCATACTACTGCGAATGTATATGTATATGCAACGGGCAGAAGGAGACCTGTCAGACCCCTCAAAGTATATAAGGTATGGTGCATAACTATATCACACGTTTGAAAAAGCATCAACAAAGATAATAAACAACAACGCTTTCCTTGCAATATTTACATTTATATTTAACGATTTGTAGGTGAGAATTGGATAAACTTTAAAGATCGAAATGCACCAAATTAGGATGAGTTGCGTATAGTATGAAAAATTAAAGAAAACTCAATGCTAAAAATTGACCGTACATGTAGAGGAAAAACTGGGCTAGAAATGCTTTGCAGAAACGCTGCTCCGTAAGCTGGGAAAACACGACTTTAATGGTTGATAAACTTTAGGCAGCTGTTTATGTCCTAGAGAAATACTCTGTACATATGTTTAGAATAATTATAGAAATTAAAAAAAAAAGAATTAAAAAATTTTTTTGATCGATTTTACCTCTTTTGGTATTTGTACTCACGTAAAGGGTGTATAATTGCACATGTAAAAAGCAATTGCGTCTATGTGAGTGTATGTATGTTTATGTTCGTATATTCGTGTCTGTGTAAGCATGTTCGCAGTCAACCTTGAGCAGCGCTGCAGCAGCAAATATAATTATGGCTATAAGTTCTTGTTAAATCAGTCTATCATGATGGCATACGGATACATAATTACTAACTGGGGGTATTTGCAAAATTTTAGTTCGAAATTCTAAGAATTACGGGAGTTAGAGAAAATTGCGATTTGCATGGAAGAGGGGGGAGATAGGGAAATTCCAAAATACACATTTTCTGAGTATTCACGAAAATTTTGTGTCCATAGGTCGTATAGTCTCCGAGATATAGGCGATTATACGAATGGAAAATCGGGAAAACCCCCATTGGGGGAAGTGGGGAGGTGGGGGGAGAATCAAATAAAATAAAACAAACTTTCACAGCGTACACACATAACGCATCTTTGTGCAAAGTTTGGTGTCTCTTATAGTCTCTGAGTTCCAGGTGTTCATACGAACAGATGGACGAGTCGATATAGCCCTCCGTCCGTCCGTCTGTATGAACGCAAGGATCTCAAGAAGTGCAAGAGCAAGCATAACCAAACTCGTAACATAATTCAGATTCTCCTAAGCCCGAGAAAGGACGAATTTGTGTTTTTTCCATTACTCCCGTAATTTTTGGAATTTTGTACTCAGATTTTGCAAATACTTCCAGTTAGTGATTATGTGTCTGTATGCCAAGTTTCATCATGATAGGTCAGGATTCTGAAGAAAGTTATAGCCATAAACAAAATTCCAAGAATTGTGGGAGTTATGAAAAACACTTATTGCGTGGGAGTGGGAGGGGGGGGGTGGTAGTGAATTAGAATAAAAACACAACCTTCAACTGCCTAGGGCTCAGTATGGGGTGGGTCTGCCACGCCTCCTTCTGTGTATTACTTACATTCGCACAAAACTAGTATATCCTTTTACCCTTTGGGTACAGGCTATAAAAACAATGCAAAATAAATATTTAGTTATCTTAAAATGGGCGTTTAAATTTTCGGCTATCGTTCATATTTTGCATTACATTGCATTTCAAAGTACATTTTTGAGCTGGGACTCACTGTACATGCACATACTACGAGGACATATTTATGGCTTTATAAGGAAGTACGCAGCTTTTAGCAAAGGGGGAGGGGGAGCCAAAAAATTAAAATTTTGATTAAATAATGCACGATGCATTTTAAAAATAACTTATGCCCCCCCCCCCCCCCCCCTACACCCTTGTGGCTTTAGTATGCATCCCCCGCTATTAGTGATTTTTCATAATCCCCAACGATTTCAAATTGGAGTTCGTGAAAAACGGTAAACAAAATTAGCTATTCTCAGTGCATTTCACAGAGAATCTGGCAACACTGCGTGAACATCTGTTGTTGCTTACAATTTACGCGATTTTTATTCCCAACTAATTAAAGGCTGAAATGGAAAAATTGGAAGCTCTTAAAATATCCTCAATGCGTCCACGCAGTAACATACTGGATCGACCCCTGTCTAAAGGAAAGTCTGAGGTCTCGCAGAGTATAGTGGCGCTTCTATTCAGCGAAATTGTCCAGTATTCTCAATCCCGTGTTTTTACTGTGCCAGAGCTACAATCTAGGTATGAACGTAGACAGCCAATTTTACACTCTTTTTAATCTGACTTTTGCTCTAGGTTACACGAACTTGGACAGGATGTAGGGACACGAATCATTGATTTGTACTTTGTGCGTGAACGCAGTTCCAAACGTGAAACAAAGCTGACACAAATGTTGCTGTTTGTCAAGACGACAGTCTGGAAAAATCTGTTTGGGAAGGAGGCCGAGAAGCTGGAGCATGCCAACGATGATGAGCGCACGTACTACATCATAGAGAAAGAGCCCCTGGTTAACACATTTATAAGCGTGCCGAAAGACAAGGGCTCCCTCAATTGTGCCAATTATTCAGCTGGTATTGTGGAGGCGGTGCTAACACATTGTGGATTTGTAAGTACGTGCGCTATTTATTAGGACATTTGTTTGATTGTTTGTAAAATTATTCCAGCCCTGTAAGGTCACAGCTCATTGGCACAAGGGCACAACCTACATGGTCAAGTTCGAGGACTTTGTAATAGCGCGCGATAAGCAAATGGAGGAGAAATAAACGTATTATTTTTAAACGCGTTCTTTTAATTTATCTTAGTTCGTTCAATCAAATTTAATAATCTAAATGAATTTAAACTGACGATCCTTGTAGGCCACTTGCCCAGTGCGGTATTTTTGTTCGCGACTATCACGCTCGGACTTCAGCGCCCATGCATACACGACGATTGGTAGCACAACTGCAAAGAGGCCGGAACGGAATGAACGTCCAGTGGGCTTAAAATGCTCATAATTGGACACACGCATAGCTTGAAAGCGTGCAAGACCAGCATCAAACTATTCGGGAGAAAATGTCAATATTAGTACTGCGATGACATAACAGGCTATGTAGTACGTACCACTGTGCCTCCCTCGCCTGTTGCGTGGCGGAAGGGGTTTGAACTTTGTTTTAGGTATTCGTTACGCAGCTTTAATGTTTGCTCATGCTTGCGGCATATGAGTTCCTGCTCTTCTTTGGTTAACACGGACATTTTGTGCCAAATAAGCTTACACACTCACCTTAGAGCAACGCATAAACAGATGATTTAAAAAATAAAGAAGCAGAGCATGACATTCACACAGGCCCATCGAATTGGCAGCACTAGGAAAATAGGCAGCATTTTTACAAAGCTTTTTTCTAGGCTGGCAGTGCTGTTCAATTATCGTTCTGATTCTGTTGTTTATTCAGTATTCAAATTACTGGCTTTGTGTTTGGTGGACGATTGAGGTTATAGATTCAGTAATATTTATATTCCAGTGAGTGAAATATTAATTATACTAAACATAAGTTTCTATGGAATTAAATATATTTTCTAAGTTATCATGGATAATTATAATTGTAAAGTCTGCTGCTTCGTTGCTCTCAACCCCAAGCACCGTTATACGCACGCTCAAGAGCAAGCACTAACATGCGCTAGCTCTCCCCGCAGCATTGCACTTTTTATATACTGCGCATGTCCTGCAAAGTGTTATGCGCAGATCTCATGTTATTGTCCAGCCCAGTGCTGACTGCTTGACAAATCCACCCTCTTGGCATGGATCCCAATGTATTTAAGCCACGTCTGGGTATAAATCAAAATACCCTAATTCTAATCAGAATGTTAGTGCGCAGGTTGCGAGCGACAGTTGTCAAACTTCCTTCGTTGCCATCACTGTGTGCGTGCGTGAGCGAGTACTAATGGGCAGAGTGAGCGCGCATGTTTTGCGTAGTTGGGTGGTTTTGTTGGTGCACTTGGCTTAGCTGTTGTCCGGGCTGGTGGGCAGCACCGCGGCACGCTTATACATAGGGGTTGTTGTTGCCGCAGAGCTGCGCGTTCGCTGCAGGACCGACGGATAGGGCTTTCGTTTTTAAAGCCGACGACTATCGGCCGTAGTGTGAAGTCGCTTGTCGCCGTTGTTGTACGTAGCACTCTCTAAGGACGTGGTGCCGAGGCCATTTGTTGCCCTTTTAAATGAGTTAATTGCAAAAGCAACGTTTTCCGATTGTTTTGCGCATTATATTGATTTTCTTCAAAGTGACAAGAAGTCATTCAATCATTTGCATTTGTAGGTGTCAAAAGTGCTTTGATTAAGAGTTATATATGCATGTGCAACGAACGTGACGAACAGATTTTTCTTTTCAGGCGCGAACGATGAGCGTAAAGACGAGTGCACGTATCAAGAAACGACGGTCTGCGGAGGCGGCAGCCTTTGGTGCTGTGAGTGCAGCCAATCAAGGAAACAGCTCTACCAGTAATAGTAACACCAACCACAGCGCTGGAAGTGTTGGTAATGCTAGCGCTGGTGGCGGTTGCGGCAGCGGAAGCAGCAGCAGTGGCATAAAAAAACATGGTCCCGTTGGACGCAATCCAAATTTTGACACTGATGAGACTAAGCTGCTCATACAATTGTGGGGTGATCCAAAGCTTCAGCGCACGCTTATAACCACGCACAAAAAGCATGCGGTCATCTGCCAGTTGGCGGCTAAAATGCAGGAGTACGGATACCATCGCTCTCCTGAGGAGATTACTACGCGCATTAAGAATCTGAAGTGTTTTTACAATCGTCTGAAGAAGGATATGGAAAGTGGACTTGCTGGCGAGACTGAGCCTAGTTGGAAGCATTTTGCCGAAATGGACGCCATTATGACACGGCCGATTTTTAGCGTGCGACCTAATGAAGTTCCGGCGCCATCCCTTAAGTATCAAATGGAGCAAGCGTTGGAGGAACATGCAGAGCGGCGCAAACGCCGATTAGAGAATGGCGATGAACTATCTGATAGTGAGAACGAAGAAGATGATATGCTACTTTCGGCGTTGGTGCCAAAGGATAATGGCAAGGTGGGTACTGCCACTGGCACTGGGTCTGCAACTAAAAACGATAGCGACGGTTGCATTATGCCAGATGTGGAGGTGGAAATGGATATTAGCGAAGAGACATTTGCAGCCATAACCAGTGTGGCAACAAACGATAAAAACGGTACTAAACGATGCAAATACTCCGCTGGCGTAGCTGCGGAAGTGGACTTAGAGGAGTCATTAACGGCACGCATTAAGACTGAGCCGGGCACGCAGAAGGAGCAAGCGAAGCATTTGGAGACGAACACAGGTACCACAGACGAGGACGATGACGACTGTATGGTGCTTACGTTGCCCAAAGAGGAGCCCATTGATGTGGACGCCGACGATGACCGTGATGAGAAAAGAAAGTGAGTGCTTTTCAGAACCTGTTATGTGTCATATACATAAAATCCCATAATTTTCTTGCAGTGTAATTGCGCGTGTATCACCCTCGGAATCCTCTAGCAATGTGCGTGCAGCCATGCCCACACTTGCCGATATGCTTCAATTACCGAAGGGCGCTAATCTGCTGCCTCTAAATGGTGCCAATGTGATAATACCAGCAGCAAGCTTGTCCAGTAACACCACAATTCCCTCCCCAAATAGCAGCAGTACAGCATCCAAAGTATCACCAGGAAAAATTTCATTGGTGCCTACCAATTTTCTAATGCAGCCAAAGCTTCCGGGTGTTCCCACTCCCACTGGTGTCGGAGCAAACGTTGCAAAGGCTCCGCAGATTCAGCTGCTTCAGAGTGCTTTAAACAATGGCGCTCGTCTGATGTTGAGTGGCGGTACGACAGCACATGCACAGACAGCCAATACAGGCATTGTGAGCTCGAGTGCGAGTGGAGTCAAGGTTTATCTTGTCAATGCGGATCAGGCAGCGGCAGCAAAGGCTGCAGCGACTGTGGGCAAACCACCCGTAGCAGCCTTGCCCATGGCTGCAAGTCTGCAACAGCCACAGCAACCGCAACTGCAGCAGCAACAGATGGTACAGCAGCAGCAACTGCACCAACAGGAGCAGCAGCAGCAAAAACAGGAACAGCAGAATAAAAAGGATGAGAAGCGCCGCGCGCAGGAAAAAGCGCGAGAGGAACAACAGACTAAGCGTCACATGACAAGTGAGTATTTACTTAGCTTCCTAGCGATTCAAAGATTCTACTAGTAATGTTATAATACCCTCTTGATGAGCATGACGCTACTAGTCGATCGAGGCATGTCCGTCCATCTGTTTTTCTATATGAATGCATCAAACTAGTAGTTAAATAGTAATCAAAGGAAGAACAAAAAAATTATTAAATTACTTTTCAATATCGAGATAACCTATCTAACTTCCCATATTACCATAAAATTGAATAAATCATACAAATTTGACAAAAGTTCACCCATTTCTAAAGTTATGCCCTTCTCTTTTACGTTTTCTTTGGTCAAGTGAGTATACAGTTTTTTTATTAGTCTTATTATTTAGTGCATACGTACTCCTTTAAAATCGGCCGAATTTAATATCTATAATACGTTGTTTCCCGTCTTCCAATGGGTTCGTTACAAACATCAGATTAAATGCAATATACTCTTAGCAAGGGTATGCCAAGTACCAAGTTTTGACCTATGAAGGTTCTGGTAGGTTCATATAGGAAAAAAACTTTTTTAAATTAATTTTTTAAAACTATTTCTAAGTTATTTACGAGCAGAGATACAAACTAATTTTTTTTTATAATTATTAATACTCTTCCAAAAAGCAATGCGGATTTTGTTACGACAATTGCTGAATGCGCAGAACGAGGCCAATGAGATTCAACATAACCGGCTGTCTCTCGAGCGCGAGCGTTTGGACTGGGAGAAATCAATGGGTGATCGCTTGTTTACACTTTTGCCCACTCTGTTCCCGCCAGCTCCAACGACAAATGCAGCACCACACCATCCGCAAACGCACCAGCAACCCCAGTTCATCGTATCGGGCGCTACTTCGGCGACGCAGCGGCTGCAGCCTCCGAAGCTGCTCTTTACCACTGCGCTGCCCATGGCGAACGGCACGGTTTCCATGCCTCATATACTCACGCCATCTGGCACTCTGACAGCCTCGCTGCCAAAAGTGATTGCGGCACCAGCACAAGGAAATTCTAACAATGTCAGCGGCACTGCTGTTGGTTGCGTGAATCCTGTGGAGATATGCACACAAATCAATGATATTCAACTGGTGACGCCGAAGATGGAGAAAGAGGGTTGACACTTCCACAATAACTCATGATCTATACCATTTTCAGTGATCTTTTGAATGTAGAAAACAATGATACTCGGTACTTTAATAAATTCCAACTTAAATGCAATACGAGTGGCGCTCAACTGGTTCTTATATTGACCTTCTCCGCCAGAGTCCTTCAGCCTTCCCAATGCAACTACAACAATATGAAATAATAAAACGATTTAGATGATACATCAGATTATGGAATTACAATAAACTTGCACATCATAATATACTTATAGTTAATAGGTATTATAGAGCCAATTCTAGAGTCACACGAAGTAAATAGTCCTCGTCAATGTTCCAATTTTATCTGCACAGTTCAGTACTTTTTATACCCTGTATCCTTACCCTACGGGTATATTAGGTTTGTGCAAAGTACTATATGTAACTGGCAGAAGGAAGCATCGATCGAACGAAGCATATCGATGTTGCTTTATTTTTTTGGACCCCCACTCCCACGATAATGGTGTTTTTCCATAACGCTAATCTTATAATCACCTATATCTCGGAAACTATAAGACCTAGGGATAGCAAATTTTATTCCCAGATGCCTTATGTGAATACCCCTCTCTCCACCGCAATTAGCGATTTTTCATAACTCCCGTAATTCTTGGATTTTTTTTACTAATTTAGCAAATACTTCTTAGTGATTATGAGTCCGTATGCAAAGTTTTACTATATTATTATAGTCATTTATGTTCACTCTGCTCAAGCGCTGCTCGTAGGCTGTTGTTGTTGGCGCTGCTTTGGTTGAACTTTGTACTGCATACATACTGACACACAGACACGCCTATGCTTGATTATACACGCATAGAATCACATAGACACAATTCCCATGTAAGTCTGCAGTTATGGTGGGTGCCTAAGGCATAAAGGGTTCCTTTACATTTTATTTGTAATTTTCGTAATTTTTTTTAGGTTGTTTAATTATTCTACACATTTGTTTTTTCTATTATGCTAAATCATTTTATTTCCTAATTGGTGCGACAGCTCATCATTTGGGCAAATTCCATAGCTTTGTTATGCAGCATACGATCTGATTTGCAATGCAAAATGGCCCATTTATGATCTATAGGCATTGTGGCCAGAAATTTTTGTCGATCCATTGAAGACAGACTGCATTACTCTAGAATGGTATTATAATTGTGGGGATGGCAGAAGCCAAATTATATTGACACTCAGTTATTTCAGCTCTAGTAAAATGGCCCAATAATACTTGATATAACGTGGTACTAAGCTTACCTTTTGAGTGAGCTTAGGTCCACTTTAAAGTTATGTCTCCTTGATTTCGATGGTGTAGTCGGTACACTGTATCGTATTGCACGACCTTAAATATCTCTTACTCGAATCAAGTACGATCGTAATTGGTGGTCGTTTTAATATCTGGTTTCTTATACACCTACCTCAACTTCATTGGCTACATTAAGAACAGATAGTTTGTCGACAGAAATAGAGTCCAACCATATACTTGTATGTTCATATTTAATCCGGAAATGTTCAAAGGCCACACAATAAAACTTTTTTGGTCGTTGTAATAGGCTGTTTAGGGCATTTTCGCTATATCAACGGTTAAATAGTTAATTGCTACTTGGCTCGGTGTTACCTAAATTTGGTACTATTGCGCATCCTTGTTGTAGGATTGGTTGAGACCCTCTCTACTGGATACGTTCTTGATTTCACTTCTGCTATGAGCGGATATGGCTCAGACGCTGAAGTTCGTTTAGTATTTCACTGTCGGGCATGCATAATTGTAGCAATCCTTAAAAAGTGGTTAGCATAATTGCCAAAAAAAACTGTACAAGAGTTTACTACAAGGTGTATTCCAAAGTAAACAGGACTTTAAAAAATAACAGAACAAATGGCTTTTTCGGCAAAATCAATCATTTTATTCAAAATAGTCTCCTTCTGCTTCAATACAGCTTTTTTCACGATTCAAAAGCATGTCGAACGAGTGTTTTAGCTCGTTGGTCGGTATGGCCGCCAGTATGCTCGTGCCAGCCCTTTTGGTTGGCCTCTACGTCTGCATAACGCTTTCCTTTCATGGGCAAATGCATTTTTCCGAAAAGGTAGAAGTCGCACGGTGCCATATCAGGTGAATACGGCGAGTGGTTAATGGTTAAAATGTGATTTTGGGCAAATAATCGGTCACAAGCGTCGATCGATGAGACGGCGCAATATCGTGCAACAAACGCCAACTTTCATCTTCGCGATATTCGGGCCGAACACGTCGAATACGGCGCAACAAACGCTTCAAAACTCCAAGGTAGAATACCGCATAAACGTTTTGGCCGGGTGGAACAAATTCTTTGTGGACAATACCCTTTCGTCACCAGTCACAATATTGTAAATAAAGTTTTTGTCCTTTTTAATGATGTCCTTCGAATGTTGGATTCTGAGCAATTTTTGGTCGTCAGTCAATTTGTGCGGAACAAACCGTGCACACACCTTTCGTAAGCCCAAATGTTAGGTCAAAATGGGATAAAACGATGTTTTGGAGATCTTCAATTCCATTTCCATCAATTTCAATGATGATTTCGGCAGATTTTTGATGAATTCACGCAGTTTCGATGGAATTTTCGGTGATCACGAATTTTGATTGGCCCACATGTTGATCGTCATTTATGTCCTCACGACCACTTTGAAAACGTTGAAACCACTCGTGCACTCTGCTACGGGATAGGCAATCATCGCCATAAACTTGTTCCATCAATAGAAATGTTTCGGTAAAAGTTTTACCAATTTTAAAACAAAATTTAATGTTGGCTCTTTGTTCGAAGCTCATGTTCGCACCGATAACACAAACATACTGACACTTAAATCGCAATGACTTCACTTCCAATCGATGAAATGTCATGAAATTCTCACTTGAGAATCGATAAAGTAGATTCTAACGCACCAGTCGACATATAGATAGCGCCACCAGGGGGCGCTAGATTCAAAAAGTCCTGTTTACTTTGGAACGCATCTTGTAGTTTAGTAGAATGTATGTAAAACACAGAAGAAGGTGGCATAAGGGATCAAGGCGAGTAGCCCGTCTGGATAAATAAAACGATCTCAGGAAGTACAAGAGCTGGAATAACCAAACTTGGTATACAAAATTTGTTAGGAGTGGGTACAGGGTATTAATGAGTTGGGCACGTTAAACTCTTGCATTCCATTCTTGTTTTTTATTACACAACTGTGAATTTCCATTCATGTTTCTTGCGCTTAATTGCCCAATTTCCTATGAACACTATAGTATAACACTTCAGGCATTTCTAGACATTGCAACAATTACAATGTCATTTTTTACTTTATATTTGCAAAAGGGCGCTGATAACAACATTTGGTGATCCATGATTAAAAAAAAGATAGCGTGCTTACTTAGAACTCTCATGGTTATATGGCTATGGTTATATGTAGATATGTAAAATTGCAGATACATTCTCCCATTTCTCCGTTGTCTTGGAAGTTCATTCCTCATGTCAAGTTGCAGTTGTTATTGTTGCTGCTTTTTGATTCCACTCTGTTCTTCAACAAAAAACATAGACGCAAACCCTTATAGTTTAAGCAATTAAAAATACCCTGTTACCAAAGGGTTAATATGTCAGTCCACTCACGACAATAATCTAAAACACACTTTACGTGGTGAAAAGGGGCTTGAAAAAACTATGCCAAGGTTTGGAAGAGGCCGGCACATTCTCCGGATTACAATCCTACTGAGAATCGGTGGTGTTATGTTGCGCAAAAAATTCGAGCATTGCAAAAGGGACAAAGCCTACTAGGATGTGATGCCGTAATTAAAATATTAATGAATAATCATATTTATTTAATAATTAATATTTAATTCACCATATTATACCAGATTTAACCAATTGCAGCATTTGAAGTTATAAACAAGGGAGAACGCTACAGTCGAGCAAGCCCGACAATAAAATAGCCTGTACTCTCCACAAAAAGGAAAAAAAATTATTTAAAAAAAATTTAATTAATTAATTAAATTAATAAAGAAAATGTATTTAATTTAATGTATTTAAGACATGTTTATGTAGAGTTTTAGCAGCATACATGTACATCATCGTGTCTATGCGTGTATGTATGTATGCAGCACAAAGTTGAGCCACAGTAGCAACAGCTGTGGGCAGAGCTACAAGCAGAGCATGGGAAGCGATTTTATTTATGGCTATAACTTTTTTCAGAATTCAGAACTTGGCATACGGACACATAAGCACTAACTGGATGTAACTACAAAAATCGATTTCAAAATTCCAAGAATTACGAAAGTTATAAAACGGACGGACGGACATGGCTATATCGACTTGTCTTGTCATCCTGATCAATAATATAAATACTTTGTGGGGTCTGCCACGCCTCCTTCTGTGTATTACTTACATTCGCACAAAACTGACCTATCATGATGAAATTCGGCACACAGACACATTAGTACTAACTGGATGTACCTACCAAAATTGATTTCAAAATTCCGAGAATTACGGGAGTTATGAAAAAAAAAACACGAATTGCGGGGGAGTGTATCAGAAAAAATAAACAAACTCGATCTGCCTAGGGCTTATAGGAACCTTGATACCAATTTTGGTTATCCTAGCTCTTGTACTTACTGAGATCCTTGCGCTCATACAGACAGACGGACAGACAGACAGACGGACATGGCTATATCGACTTGTCTTGTCATCCTGATCAAAAATATATATACTTTGTGGGGTCTGCCACGCCTCCTTCTGTGTGTTACATACATGCGCACAAAACTAGTATAGCCTTTCACCCTTTGGGTACAGGTTATAAAAATACCACTATATTGCTAACTCTATGTCGCAAAATTCTTTTGATTGGGATTTTTGCTTAAGTTACCGATCTCAACAGCGCATTTCGGTTCCATGGCCGGGATTTGCAGAGGAAATTCAATGTACATATAGTATATGTATATTTCGACGCACTTATTCATAATAAGGTTATATTAAAACGACTTATTCTCTTTTTTTGAATAGAAGTCGAAGAATCCAAAAATCACAAACGATTTTTGTTTAAAAAGGTTGCACTTGAACCGGTTTAAATAAACAATAAAAGTTGATAGTGTGATATACTTAGTATAATTATTGGTTAAATATATGTATTTAGTTTTATTGTTTCATGTTTTTAGACATTTTTAAAGTTTGATATATTTTTTTTAAATTTTTGCAAAGATGAAATTATGGAAAAATGTGCATTTTATGAGTGGCTTACGTTTCGAAAACGGGTAAAGATAACAGTCCTAATTAGTTAATTCATAACATAAAACATATTATTAAGGGATTTGTCGTTGGGTGCAGCTGGGATTTCCTCTCAGATTAGTGTTTTTGTTGCTGGTGTGCGTAGCTTGCTGGTAGTGCATATTGACCCGCTCCATATCACGAATTTCCAATATGTCTGTTTTCAGGCGTTGTTTCACTATCTCACGCCATATTGCTTCCCGATCGCAATTGTTAGTAATGCCCATGCGCTGTAGTGTTATGTCTGTTATGCGCAATAGCGCGCGTCCAGTTATGTCGTGCTGTAATATTGTTGAAAGAACATTACAGATGGCATTAGTCACAGCAGGCGTGAGCTTACAAATTATGATGTTGAAATTAAATAAATGCTGAATATACGTTAAGTACTAAATTGTTGGATTTTGCCACCATTATAGCCGCAAGGAAATACAGCCCGACATCAACGCTATTACTAATCGCACGAAGTGCAGTATTTTATATACTTTATTCATACGTGTACATAAAGCAATAAGATCTAAAGGTGTGTAATTACTATTTTTTTAGCAAACTATTGCGGCAAAGCCGCATCGCTATACATACATATGTACTCACATATGTATCCTGAATGATTACCATGACTGAACAAATATGAAAAATTATTTGTTGTGATAATCAGTTGTGCTTAAACACGGAGAGAACCTTCTGTGAATAGTTTGGGCATTTGCTGCCATTTGGCAGCCGTTGACAATGGTTTCTATCTCCGTTGTCAACGGCGAGGACACCCTTTTCAACTTTGTTGTTTACCTTAGCAAAGAGCTGTTCGTACGATGTTTGCGATATATCTGCACAATGTCGTCGATACCATTTTAAAACATCACCAACAGTCCAGGCGTGTACAGCTTTAGGTCGAGTTGTTTTCGCCTTTGTCTTGTTTTGTGTAGAACCACTTGTTTCCTCGACCATCCTTTGTTGTTTTGTTGCAAATGTCACATATGGAGTTCTAAAACCGATGCAACCGTTCGAGATGAGCACATATGGTCACAGTTTCAGTGAATAACAGAATACGTGAAAATTTTCACATTTAATCGATATGTGCCATTCGATAGTGTGAGATACAGAGTCGCTGTGTTTTTCAGATTGATATCGTCGCAATATTATCGTCCCTGCCTCAGCTCTGAACGTGACTGGCGCTTAATAACAACGAAAGAAAGGAAAAAAAGAGTGGAAGTAGAAAACACGTACCAAGACACTAAATAAGTTTTGTTAACACGAAATATAATTACGCATACAGATTATTGCAATAGTTAAAATTAACAGATATACTTGATTAGCTAAGCTACGTTACCATATTTATAATCAAAAACCGACCGCATTAATTGCAAGATGGCCGGAGCTATACTTTTCGAGCGTGCCCAGGCAGTATCTACTGTGAACCGGGAGGAAGGCATCTCGCTATTAAACAAAATTGTGCGAGAACAGGAAGTTGCCGAGAATGACGAGGAGCTTATACGTATTAAGGAGCAAGGTATTATGCAGCTGGGCGAGCTCTACAAGCAGGAGGGCAAGGCCAAAGAGTTGGCTGATTTAATCAAGGTGACGCGTCCATTTTTAAGCTTGATCAGCAAGGCGAAGGCTGCAAAACTGGTGCGGTCATTAGTCGATATGTTTCTTGATATGGACGCTGGAACGGGCATTGAGGTAAGCCAAGAGGTTTCTGAAATGAAAAAGTCTTCTAACCTATGGTTTTTATCTGCAGGTGCAACTTTGTAAAGACTGCATTGAGTGGGCCAAACAAGAAAAGCGAACCTTTCTGCGTCAGTCGTTGGAGGCACGTCTCATTGCACTCTACTTCGACACGGCCATGTATACAGATGCATTGGCGCTAGGTTCCCAATTACTTCGTGAGCTAAAGAAGTTGGACGATAAGAATTTGCTAGTGGAGGTGCAGCTGCTAGAGAGCAAGACCTATCATGCGCTTAGCAATTTGCCAAAGGCACGCGCTGCACTCACATCTGCACGAACCACGGCCAATGCAATATATTGTCCGCCCAAGGTTCAGGGTGCGCTCGATTTACAATCGGGCATATTACATGCGGCAGACGAGCGCGATTTTAAGACCGCCTTTTCCTACTTCTACGAGGCGTTTGAGAGCTTTGATAGCGTGGTGGAGAGCGCGAAAGCACTAACGTCGCTTAAGTACATGTTGTTATGCAAGATTATGCTTGGTCAGTCTGATGATGTTAACCAGATTCTCAGCGGAAAGTTGGTGAGTTCTATAAAAATCTACTAGTAAAATATATAATTACATATAAATATTTATATATATATATAATCTAGGCCATCACCTACTCTGGCCGCGATGTTGACGCTATGAAATCTGTAGCGGAGGCCTCACACAAGCGATCGTTAGCTGATTTTCAGCTTGCGTTAAAAAACTACAAGAAGGAATTGGCCGAGGATGTTATTGTGCAGGCACATTTAGGTACGCTGTACGACACCATGTTGGAACAAAATCTATGCCGCATTATTGAGCCATATTCGCGTGTGCAGGTTGCCCATGTGGCCGATAGCATTAAGTTGCCTATGCCGCAGGTGGAGAAAAAGCTATCCCAGATGATTTTGGACAAAAAGTTCAGTGGAATTTTGGATCAGGGCGAAGGTGTGCTCATTGTATTCGAAGAGACTCCCGTAGACAAAACATACGAGCGTGTGCTAGAGACCATACAAAGCATGGGCAAGGTAGTTGACACGCTGTATCAGAAGGCCAAAAAACTGTCATAAAATGTATCAGCAAACAACGCATGCACGATATCAGTAAAATTATTAGACAGACACTTAAACACTTTGGGGTCTCCCTCTTGTATTCAAGCATTTCCCATTACCAAATTCCCCAATCTTCGCTTATAGCTTATTAATTTTGTTTCTGTAAACCACAAACAAGAGGGTAAAATTAACAACTGCAAATACAAATATATTGGTGGTAACAGCATCTACTTTTAAAATAATACATAAAAAATAACTCAAATTAACATAAGAAAAATTATCGGTAGAGAAATCGAATTGTTCACACGCGCGGTATATATACTAAGAAAAATATTCAATTTACAAATAAACGAGAGAGCGAAAAACCTATCAGAGGCTTTCACCAACATTGGGTTTTGTACGTCAGTAGTGACCAATATCGTAGATATTACTCAAATGTTTACTTCCAGTAAACTTTGGAAGTGATCGTTTTCCTCGAAGATACAATCCCAACGGGTTTTATACCAAACAACTGAAAACGGGTAAATGAAAATAGTTTTTCATAATAGTTTTGAAAATTGCCTACTAGTAACGAGGGGAGCCATCTCGGATTCTTATCATTGGGCGCGTTTACTAGATACTGATTACTTCTAATTTTACCTGTAGAACGTTGTAATTTGTTATTGCGATTTGAAAAAATGTGTATCAGCTGTGAGTATTTTGCCTATCAGCTGAAAAACAGAAATGCAAAAAGCTGCGTATGCCCTTGGATTATCATGAATTTTTTTGGAAAATATTTATATTTATGGATTGTTGAAAGGAAGATTTCAACGACTAAAACAAACCCCAGGCGTTCCAACTCGCATGTTGCATGCTACACAATTTCATTTCGATTAACAACTGTGCCGAGGACTGTGTTCATGAGGACGTTGCAACTGGAGAATTAGAGGATTCGGTGTTGTGTGGTGTGGACCATCCGAAAACGTCATTCGAGCCATTTTACAAAGGATATGCTTTAAAGAAATTATCTTAGACTGTTTAAATAAAATTGTATTTATCGTTTATTATTTATTTATTTTTATTAGTGTAGTAATATAAGTTTCGAAGAGATCATTTCTCCGCTTTTGCACTTCAATAGGTTCCTCCATTGCTGCTCTTATCCCTTTTAAAGTTTCATTTCGTTCTCTTTCGATATTCAAAATCTGTTTTGTTTGATAATACCGCTTTCGCTGTGTATTAGCCTTTATTATTTTTTGTTGTTGATTTGGTGCAATTGGAGTACTGGACTTTATTTCTTTCGCATTTTGGGCCATCCCGTCGTTGGAGGTTTCGCCAAATAGGATATTATCTGTCTCTACATCAGACAGCTCTTCTTTAATAGGAGGATGAAAAGCTGTTGCCTCTTCTTTACATAATATGGAAAACAATTCTCCATGTTGCTCCTCGTTCTCCTCTGAAGATACAAAGATTGATTCCTGACTGGTTCTTCCAGCGACGGTATGATCTTCCGCAAAAATTTCCTCCATGTCTTTAAAAAATTCCCACTTGATGGCTCTTTGTCCTTTGCTTTTGTTTTTTAGCCGTATGGTGTCATACGTATGTTTTAAATTCCGGAATTTGCGTTCCACTTTCTCCACATTGTGTTCTCGGACACCATTCTCCTCCATTTCATCTGAAATTTTGCGCCACAATATCTTCTTCTTAATTTTACTGTTACAGAAGTTTTCCTTGTTCTTCTTATAAACTGTTAGGAGGAGCTTTATGGCGTTCACAGGCCACTTGCTTTCATCAGCTGAAATTCATTGTTTTTATGCACAACTGACGTATATTTACGTTTGTTATGTGCGGCGCGGCAGTATTGGGAAACCACAAATGTCGTCGGACAAAAGGAGTGGCAACTCGCGCGATTGGCAGCTGGAGCGGGCCGATAACAAGTACTCGTGCGTGAGGGGTGAGGACCAGTGCTACCAATTAGGAGGGTTGCAAAGTGGGTAAAATAGCAATTCCGGGGGAATGGCAAGTCGTGGCCTTAGGGAAGAAGAAAAATCAATTGTGGACAGTGAGCGAGAGACACGTGCTATTGCGGGAAAAAACAAAAAAAGAGACAAAATAAGCGGAAGACAATATTCAAACACCGGAGTGACGACAGGAGGGTTGGGATATACACCAGCGAGGCTTCATAGGCAGAGGAGTAGCAGTAACTGCGGGCGTTCTGGGAAGTGCGCTGTGCGCGGGTCAGCACCGACCGGCAGTACTGGGTCTTAGGCCGGACCTCGGCCCTAGCGGAAGTCAGGCCAATTTCCATGCAACTGGAAGTCTGGGCTAAGTACCCTTCAACATTAAAATACTAAATATTCACACACATTCCGCTCAAACATAGAACCAAAATTGTATATACACCCTACATACATATACATAGCCATCTCACATACACCAGTGCAGCATATAACACAAAATTCAACTAAATACTCACACATATTCCGCTCAAACATAGAACACAAAATTTTATATACACCACACACTCCTTTATATACACTCCATACATGTTCACATACACCATATTCAAACACACACCGAATTTCCATAGCACTCAGACTCACATTCATCCCATAGCCACATAATGTAAAATACAAAACAAAAAAACAACACACAAAACAATTAACAATTTTCTGTTACACACATAGCCCAAACCATTCACAACATAATATAAAACATTAAACAGAAACACAACACCCAAACATTTAACCATATTGTAATACACACACGCCCATAGCCACATAATGTAAAATACAAAACAAAAAAACAACACACAAAACAATTAACAATTTTCTGTTACACACATAGCCCAAACCATTCACAACATAATATAAAACATTAAACAGAAAAACAACACACAAAACAATTAACAATTTTCTGTTACACACATAGCCCAAACCATTCACAACATAATATAAAACATTAAACAGAAACACAACACCCAAACATTTAACCATATTGTAATACACACACGCCCATAGCCACATAATGTAAAATACAAAACAAAAAAACAACACACAAAACAATTAACAATTTTCTGTTACACACATAGCCCAAACCATTCACAACATAATATAAAACATTAAACAGAAACACAACACCAAACAAGTAACCATATTGTAAACAAAAATTCAAATGTATACTTAAGAAAAAAGAACATAAAAAAAAAAGAAAAGTAAAAGAAAATGTATAAAGTCTAATATAAGCAAAAGAGGTTGGAATGTGTATTGGAGCGGCGCAGTTTTTTTTTTTGTTTATCTCCTTGTCATTACATATCATTACACCCCTCATAACCACATACTCGAGTATAGGTAGGTTAGGAGGTTCGAAAATCGAATAAGATAAATAGGCACAAAGAGCCAACAAACTGCAGCGTCCCAAAACTCAATGGCCTAAATACCCGAATATATTTTTATTGTAATAAAATTTAAAATTTGAAAATGAGTCTGGAGTAGAATCCATTTATGGGGTGAGATGGGGTGACTAAAGTCCCGGAGCAGAAGGGAAACCAAAGCAAGCATGTTGAAGGGAGCCGGCAACAAAATGCCAAAACCGGCTCAAGGTAGGGAGGGCCACGCGGCTACATGACACCAAAGTAGCCACAACTCCACCCAAATTCCACAGGCGTCCCTCAGCCGACAATATGAGTAGGTGTGTTTGATAAAAAAATATAAATTCATTGTTGGTCTGCCGCACCCCTGTCGCGGTCGAATCTGACCCTGAGCCGATGGCTAGCCGGCGTAACGACAGGGGATGCACTGGCAAAGGCGGACATAACAAGATGGCGCCCAATATAAATACACCTGGGTCTACATTTTAGCAAATGTTGCCCCAGTTCGAAGCGAAGTTAAAAGCCAGAGTCTTGTTGTTTGTTTTTTTTGTTGATTTGTATTCTTTATTTAGTGTTTACATGTAAATTTCAACAGCAATAGCTGCTGGCGGCCCCTGAGCTGGCGGGAAACGGTGCAACTGCCAGGTCCGTGGGTGAGCTTCACTAGGGCTCAGCCCATCGTTGCCGCAGTTGCATCTTTCTTACAGCGCGGTGTAGGTTGGTAACCAGCAGAATAGGCGCAGCGAAGGAGCGAGTGTAGCAGGTCCGTGAGGGGTCTTGGTGCCCACTCATTGTTGCCCTACAGGGTGCTCTGAGGCTGGAAAGATAGAGAGTAATGTCTGTCAGGTGTTAAGTAAAGAATAGTATAGTTGCCTTATGTTTTTTTTGTGTTAGTTACCGTTTTTTTTTGTGGTTGTTTGGTAGTTCTTATGAATGGTTGCGTAGTAGGTCCATGTCCTGTCCCAAGCGGAAGGAGCATCGTTGCCCTACGTATCAGAGCATAGGAGCAGCAATTCGCCATAGCCCGAGCAAGATTTGAGTTTTTAGTAGGCGCCTGGAAGAAATTGGGTGGTGTAAAGCGTGCGATACATATGTGTTTGTTTTGGTTGTTTACCTTCTACAGTGACTGCGTGCCGTGGTGCAGCGTCATACTGAGGATCCTCATCTCACCCTTACATGTCTAGTGTTGAGCCTGTGAGAGTAAAGAAAGATTGTTTTGATTTATGCTATTGTCAGTTAGTGTATTAATTACCTTTTATTTATTTATTTGCGTAGCAGCAAATAAATTATCAATAGACGGGGAGTCCATTGTGAATGGTCCCGGTCAAGCACAGCTGTTCCTGGGCTGAACCATCGATATTAATAAGTATCGACAGGGTATTTTGGCACAGATTAGCAGGTCTGTGCATAGGGCGGGAATTTGAAGTTCAACTTATCGTTAGTTTGTTTTTTTTTGGAGTAATTTTTTTCACTTAGTATTTTTTTTGTTAAGTCTTTTGGTATACATTTATTTATTCTCATTTATTTATTCTCATTTATTTATTCTTATTTATTTATTCTTATTTATTTATTCTTATTTATTTATTCTTATTTATTTATTCTTTTTTTTGGTTGTGTGTTTGATGGTATTCCTATATATATATACATAAGCATTTGATTGGATTAAATAATCCAACGGGTACTTAGCTAAGGATATTATCCCCGCTTATCATTTAAGAAAACACATACATACGAGTGGACCGATCTATTTATTTATTCGGAGTTTGCTCGTTTATAATATAGATATAGTTTTTTTTGATATTATAATCGGCGGGTACGGATCCGAGTACTAGCAGTGGTTTTTTTTTGGTTTGGATTAACAAGGTACTGAGAAATGAATCTTGACCCGAATGTTACCCGGAAGGTCAGGCGGAGTCAGGAGTTTATTAGAAATAGGCCATTGGTTCACTTGGACTCTCCTCCTCACGTAGGATTGAGTGAGGCGGGCAAGCCAGCAGAAGCACTCCAGGATGACGCATCGCCGCCGAGTGTAAACGAGGCAGCGTTCCGAGGATTCGGGGATGAATTTCCGAACAGTTCCGGAGCAACAACCGGCGCACGCGCGCGTGACTATGGCGGTGAAGAGCAGGGTGGCAGAGCCGAGTCTGCGCTGCCAAGCGAAATTCGGTCAGCGATCAACGTGGCATTAGCACAGGCCCACGAGACGTATCGCGCATCGTTGTCGTCAGAAGTAGAGGCCATTCGAGAGACGATGCAGGCCAGCATGCTGTCGTTCATGCGCGAGATTAATGAGGCAGTGGCAGCGCTGAGGCAGGAGAGAACGCATAGCGCGCCTCCGTCTGTAGCACAGGCGCCGGTGGGCAGGCCAGAGCGAGCTCACGCGCAAATGCAGCGGCCAGCCTTAGGCGGGTACGAGCCGGCAGAGAAAGAAAGAGATTTTGTAAGTAGTAGACCAGCAGCTGCAGCACCGACTCACCTGTTCGTCGACAACCGAACTTTAGAGGCAGAACAGCGGGCACATGTGGAGCAGCGGCAGTTCTCAGCCGATCCGTGGATGCGCGATTTGGGCCCTGACGTGCACAGGCCATTAAGGCGAACCACGATGGGAGACTCCCGGCCCGACGTCGTCCACATCAGAAAGTGGGGCCTTGTATTTGATGGCGAAACCAAAGGAATGCCGGTGGCAGAGTTTATATTTCGATTGGAGCATTTGCAGTCCTTGTATCAGGTGCCCTGGGCCGACGTGTTGCGAGACTTCCACTGCCTGGTGAACGGGAGAGCGAAAGATTGGTATTGGATGTACATACGTACCTCGGGCGTGCCGGACTGGCCGAATCTCCGATATGGGCTGCAGCAGCAATTTCAGACTCGAAGATCGGAGTTTGAACGAGAGCAGGAGCTGAGGGAGCGGAAGCAGCGGCATGGCGAGAGCATAGAAGAGTATATTCAGGCGATGCTGGTGTTGCGTTCTCGGTTGGTGTGTCCATTTTCGGATTATGACCTTATTAAGGTGATAAAGACAAATATTAAAGACACCGTGTCTAGGGTCATCTATCCGATGAATATAACTAATCTGCAGAAGCTGAGAGAGGAGTGCCAAGACGCCGAAAAGATGCTGGCAACGCGTTGGGCGCGGCCCTCAGCCAGTACCAACTACGGGCAGCAGCGAGAGCAGCATCGAGTACACGAGCTGGACGTGGTAGCAGAAGGTACACAAGGCGGCCAACTGGAGCATTTGGAGGCGGTATATAGGCCACATGAAACTGGTGGGAGCCGCTCGAATCTCAAGTGTTGGAATTGTGCACAACCAGGGCATACATATTTCGATTGCGAGTCGGCGGTGCGCAATATGTTTTGTTTCAAATGCGGACAGCCAGGCGTGGTGCTGCCAAGATGCCCGAAATGTCGTCCGGGAAACTCGGAGAGGAGTCCGACGCAGCCGGAGGAGTCGCACTCTCGGTAGACGGTGAAACGCGTACCTCCGATGATACAGTAGTTAGGATAGGAATTAGTAGCGATAAGGATAGTACCGTTAGTCATATTTACTCACAGATATATAAAGTCAACCAGGCAGTCCCACCGAAGAAAGTATGGTCGCAGCGGAAACCCTTGGAGCAGCGTCAGCGCGACTATGAAGTAGCCAGGAACCGCATATTTGGTAGCCAGCACGAACCGGATGCGAGAGGGGCGTCGAAGACATCCTTGCGGGCGCGTAGGAGACACCGCGAACGCCGACAGAAACGCCAGGCGGTGTGTGCCGCGGTGAATTCTGCATGTCGTTCCGACAGCCGCCCATATGCTACGGTAGCGATTGAAGGCAGAGAATTTACCGGTCTGTTGGATACCGGGGCGTCGGTGAGCTTGCTGGGAAGTGGTGCCATAGAGTCGGTCCGAAAACTAGGTTTGGTGGTACGCGAAAACAAATCCGCGGTAAGGACAGCCGGCGGCGCGCCACATTGCATTATGGGCAGCGTGATGGCGCGCGTTAGGTATAACGGAACAGAGTCGGAAATGGTATTCCACGTTTGCCCGTCGTTGTGCCAACCGCTTTATCTGGGCGTGGATTTTTGGCGCAAGTTCGGTTTGGCTCCGAATGTGATCCCGGCTGTGGACGAAGGACAGCACGTGGCTGAGTTGGAGGAGGAGCGCTTAGGAAATGGTACACCAACGGAGCCACACGATTTAGAGGCGTGGCAACAGGAGAAGTTACAGCGAGTCGTGGCCCAATTCAGATCCTTCGAGGAGCACGGTCTGGGTAGGACGCCAGTGGAGCAGCACCACATTCAGTTGACGGAGGGGGCACTGCCAGTGAAAGAGCGTTTTTATCCCGTGTCGCCGGCAGTGCAGGCGCTATTGTTTGCAGAAGTCGACGAGATGCTTCGGCTAGGGGTTATCGAGCCAAGTGAGAGTCCATGGAGCAACCGAGTGACTTTGGTGAGGAAGCCTGGAAAGAACCGGTTGTGCTTAGACGCGAGAAAGCTAAATCAGCTCACGGTGAAGGATGCTTACCCACTCCAGAGCATTGAGTCGATCTTGAGCCGAGTGGAGGATACCATTTACATCAGCAGCCTGGATCTAAAGCATGCTTTTTGGCAGATCGAACTGGATCAGGAAAGCCGGCAGTACACCGCGTTTACGATACCAGGAAGGCCACTGTATCAATTTAAGGCCATGCCGTTCGGGTTGTGCAATGCGGCGCAGCGCCTTTGCCGGGTGATGGATAAGGTGATTCCCCAGCGTTTGAGAAGCCATGTATTCGTGTACCTGGACGACCTTCTCATAATATCCAGAACGTTTGAGGATCATTGCAAGGTGCTGCTGGACGTGGCAAGTGCTTTGAAAGTAGCCAATTTGACGATTTCCTTAAAAAAATCCAAGTTCTGCTACAAGTACTTGAAGTATCTGGGGTTTGTGGTTGGCGATGGTGCGTTGCGGACGGATCCAGAGAAGGTCGAGGCGATTCGGGCGATTTCCTTGCCGACCAGCGCAAAGCAGCTCCGCCGATTCTTGGGGACCGCTGGCTGGTATAGGCGTTTCATTCGGAATTTTTCCACGATTTCCGCGCCGTTAACGGACTGCCTGAAAGGGAAAGGAAAGTTCCAATTATCGGGCGAAGCGGTTGCGGCATTTCAGGAGTTGAAAGGGGCACTCACCTGCGCGCCAGTGTTGGTGCATCCAGACTTTCGGAAGCCGTTCGTGATCCAATGTGACGCGAGCCAAGCGGGCATAGGAGCGGTTTTGTTCCAACTCGATGCAGACGGGGCCGAAAGGCCGATAGCTTTTTTTTCAGCGAAGCTTCGGGGCGCTCAGCTGAGCTATAGTGTCACCGAGAAGGAATGCCTGGCTGCAGTAAAAGCGGTCGAAAGATTCCGGCCGTACGTTGAATTGATGCCGTTTAAGGTGGTGACTGATCACGCCAGCCTGCGGTGGCTGATGTCATTGAAGGAGTTGGACGGTCGATTAGCGCGGTGGTCGTTGGCCCTGCAGAGGTTCGACTTTAATATTGAGCATCGGAAAGGCAAGGAAAATATTGTAGCCGATACCCTCTCACGGCCTTTCGAACTGGAGGAAGTTGATTTTTTTGATTTCGAGACAACCGAGTTCGAAGGTGCGGAGTATACCGAGCGGCTGAAGCAAGTGCGGGAGAACGCGGAGCTATTTCCGGATTTACGCGTGGAGGATGGGCTGTTGTATAAGCGGGCGCAGTTCACGCGGCCCGAGCGAGAGGAATTTTCCTGGAAGCTCTGGGTACCGCGTCCTGTGTCCGCAGCCCTTATACAGCAGGCCCATGAGAGCGACGCGGCTATGCATGGGGGCATGAAGAGGACCATAGAACGGCTCAGGCAGTTTTTTTTCTGGCCCGGGATGGTGGCACAGGTGAGGAGGTACGTTGCCGGCTGTGAAACGTGCAAAGCAACAAAGCACAGCACGCAATTAGCGAGGCCGGTAATGGGCGCCGAAACCGTATCGCTCCGACCAATGCAGAGGCTGCATCTGGATTTTCTAGGGCCGTATCCGAGGTCCAGGAGAGGGAATACCACCATTCTGGTTGTTCTTGACCATCTGTCCAAATTCGTGTGGTTGCGAGCGATGCCAAAAGCAACAGCGGCGGCAGTGGTCCGGTTTCTGCAGGAGGAGGTGTTTTCGGCATTTGGAGTCCCAGAAACCGTCCATACCGACAACGGTAAGCAATTTGTGGCCAACCAATTTACGGGGTTCCTGCAGGGGCTGAGCATCACCCACGTACGCACGGCGAACTATGCCCCACAGGCGAATGCGGCGGAACGCGTGAACCAGACAGTGTTAGCGGCCATCAGGACATATGTACAGGGCGACCACACGAAGTGGGACGAGAAGCTCTCGGACGTGCAGT